ATGGCAGCAAAACCACCACCGAATGTTGCTTGGATATGCTGGACGTTCCTCAGCTGCTGCTGCGCCTGGCTGCTGTCTCCGCCAAGATGTGGAGCACCCCAGGTCACAACAGCCCCAGATTCAAGAATGGCGGCAAAAGCAAAACTAGTTGCTTGGATGTGCTGGACGTTCCTCAGCTGCTCTTGCGCCTGGCTACTGTCTCCGCCATACTCGGGATTACCCCAGGTCACAACATCCCCAGATTCAAGAATGGCAGCAAACACACTGCCACTTGCTTGGATGTGCTGGACGTTCCTCAGCTGCGCTTGCACCTGGCTGCTATCTCCGCCGTATTCCGGATCACCCCAGGTCACAACAGCCCCAGATTCAAGAATGGCAGCAAAAGCACTGCCATTTGCTTGGATGTGCTGCACGTTCCTCAGCTGCTCTTGCACCTGGCTGCTCTCCCCGCCCGAGGCTGCATTGCCCCAGGTCACAACATCCCCAGATTCACGAATGGCAGCAAAAGCTTTGCAGGTTGCTTGGATGTGCTTGACGTTCTTCAGCTGCTCTTGTACCTGGCTGCTGTTTCCGCCGTCTCCTGGAACGCCCCAGCTCACAACAGCCCCGGACTCAAGAATGGCAGCAAAAGCACCAGCACCTCCAACACCTCGAGGAGTTGCTTGGATTTGCTGGACGTTGCTCAGCTGCTCTTGCACCTGGCTGCTGTCTCCGCCACATTGTGGATCGCCCCAGGTCACAACAGACCCAGATTCAAGAATGGCAGCAAAAGCTTTGCAGGTTGCTTGGATGTGTTGCACGTTCCTCAGCTTCTCTTGCACCTGGCTGCTGTCTCCGCCACATTGTGGATCGCCCCAGGTCACAACATCCCCAGATTCAAGAATGGCAGCAAAAGCACCGCCAGTTGCTTGGATGTGGTAGACATCTCTCAGCTGCTCTTGTACCTGGCTGCTGTCTCCGCCACTATCTGCACGACCCCAGGTCACAACAGCCCCGGTTTCCAGAATGGCTGCAAACGCACAGCCATTTGCTTGGATGTGCCGGACGTTCCTCAGCTGCTTTTGCACCTGGCTAATGTCTCCGCCGAAGAACTGATAACCCCAAGTCACAACCTCGCCTCCGTGCCAAGCGAAGGCCGTGCCTGTGGCAGCTAGTTTGCCAATCTGCACTACCGCCGCCACCACGTCCCCATCTCGCAACCCGGCCTCACTCACCTAGGCTGGAATTAGGACCCCGGCAAAAGATTATCTTTTTTGCCTGGTGAGTGGAAAACAAAGGGACCCCACAAAAGCCAAAAAATAAAAGGGGAGCTAATTCTGGGGAAGTCACAGTGGCCGTCAAATCGAGCTGCCCGCCTTGCGCGGTGAGCGTCAAGCGGCGCTGGAAATGCTGCTGCGCTGCAGCCTTCAGCTCGCTGATGGGCGTCTCTGGTGAGACTTCTATGGAGCAACCATCTCCGCTGGGCAGGTGAACATTCACCTTCATGGCGCAGGAAGGTTCTTCCGGGTGCATGCAAAGATCCAAATGCGAACCTGAGGCATGTAAATCTGAGGGGACACCCGTTTTAATGGCTCTTAAGAGGATCCCAACCGTTCAACCACTCATATGGGTTCCAATTACTCGGCCACAAACTCATGCAGTATGTGTTTCCTTCATGGGTCTTCCATCGTCCCCTGCGAGCATCCTCCCAGCTGTCTGACTTTCCGTTTGAAGCTCAGCTGACTTCCGTTTGGTCGACGTCAGCAACAAATCACATCCCTGTGAAACCGAACCTGAAGCAAAAAAGCTGCTAAGCCCAGGTCTATCAAATCTGGGATATGCACTGTCAGGATGCAAGTCCCATTTATCTACCCTCTTTCCAACAATCATGGAAGTGCACAAAGGGGTTCCAAAAGGAAAATAGTCGTCCAAAGCTCCCCTGTCAACTTCCATGATTGTTGGAGGGAGGGTAGTCTCTACAAAGGGGAAATGGGTCACCATAAATGGACCCCCTGCTCCGAGTACTTGCTGGGTATCTTTAGACAGTGGCAAAAGCCTCCTTTCTTAGTGGAGGGTTGGGAGTAGGGAACATGGTCATCTCGCACTCTCTGTCTCTGAGCTGCCCCTCTCTCTCTCTCTCTCTCTTTCTCTGTCTCCCTCTCTCTTCTTTCTTCCTATCTCTGTCTCTTTCTGAGCTGTCATTCTGCCAAGAAGCTCTGCAAAGGATAGCTTTGCCGTGGAACAAGCAGGGATGGCTCACAGAAAGCAGGCTCAGCATCGAGAAGCTTGCAGTCCACATCTTGATCTTAAAAGTTCAGACTGGTTCATTTCACGCACTTCAGAAGTTGTCATCCTGGCCTGTCTTCAAATCCATAAGCACAAACCTGTCTTCAAGGCATAAGCACAAACCATGCAGCTGGAGCACAATCCAAGCGCATTCAGCACCCCCGAGTGTCACAACTTCCATCTTCCTCAGAACACGCACAGCTTCAAACCAGGCAGAAAGAGTGACTCTCAAAGGTCCGTGATCACAAGTTCATTCCCTGGGCTGCTCCGTCTCCCACTTCATCTTTCGCACTTTCTGCCTCTCTCTGAGCTGCATCTCTCTCTCTCTCTCTACCTCTCTCTGTCTCTCTCTCTCTCTCTCTTTCTCTGTCTCCCTCTCTCTTCTTTCTTCCTATCTTTGTCTCTTTCTGAGCTGTCATTCTGCCAAGAAGCTCTACAAAGGACAGCTCTGCCGTGGAACAAGCAGGGATGGCTCACAGAAAGCAGGCTCAGCATCGAGAAGCTTGCAGTCCACATCTTGATCTTAAAAGTTCAGACTGGTTCATTTCACGCACTTCAGAAGTTGTCATCCTGGCCTGTCTTCAAATCCATAAGCACAAACCTGTCTTCAAGGCATAAGCACAAACCATGCAGCTGGAGCACAATCCAAGCGCATTCAGCACCCCCGAGTGTCACAACTTCCATCTTCCTCAGAACACGCACAGCTTCAAACCAGGCAGAAAGAGTGACTCTCAAAGGTCCGTGATCACAAGTTCACTCCCTGGGCTGCTCTGTCTCCCTCTTCATCTTTCACACTTTCTGCCTCTCTCTGAGCTGCCTATATCTCTCTTTCTCTCTCTTTCTCTCTCTCTCTCTCTCTATCTCTCCCTCTCTCTTCTTTCTTCCTATCTCTGTCTCTTTCTGGGCTGTCATTCTGCCAAGAAGCTCTACAAAGGACAGCTCTGCCGTGGAACAAGCAGGGATGGCTCACAGAAAGCAGGCTCAGCATCGAGAAGCTTGCAGTCCACATCTTGATCTTGAAAGTTCAGACTGGTTCATTTCACGCACTTCAGAAGTTGTCATCCTGGCCTGTCTTCAAATCCATAAGCACAAACCTGTCTTCAAGGCATAAGCACAAACCATGCAGCTGGAGCACAATCCAAGCGCATTCAGCACCCCCGAGTGTCACAACTTCCATCTTCCTCAGAACACGCACAGCTTCAAACCAGGCAGAAAGAGTGACTCTCAAAGGTCCGTGATCACAAGTTCATTCCCTGGGCTGCTCCGTCTCCCACTTCATCTTTCGCACTTTCTGCCTCGCTCTGAGCTGCATCTCTCTCTCTCTATCTCTCTCTGTCTCTCTCTCTCTCTCTCTCTCCCTCTCTCTTCTTTCTTCCTATCTCTGTCTCTTTCTGGGCTGTCATTCTGCCAAGAAGCTCTACAAAGGACAGCTCTGCCGTGGAACAAGCAGGGATGGCTCACAGAAAGCAGGCTCAGCATCGAGAAGCTTGCAGTCCACATCTTGATGATGAAAGTTCAGACTGGTTCATTTCACGCACTTCAGAAGTTGTCATCCTGGCCTGTCTTCAAATCCATAAGCACAAACCATGCCGCCGGTGTCACAAAGGCTGCGAGAGCGCACATCAATTGCGCACATCAATTGCGCATTTCGCAAGCCCGAGAGGCTCGACACGCCAAGAGGCTTCAACCAAGCAGAAAAAAACAGACCTGGCCTGCGACGAAACTACAAACTGGACCCATCATGCTCATTGCGTTCAAGGGAAGACCCCACTTGTGAGAGACGAAAGTCCAGAAAATGGAAACCACGCCCCCCCTGACCAAATAACCCAAAGGTTTGTAGAATCCATGGGAGATCCAAGTTCTTCGACATGGTTTAGGACTCAAAAATCCATGCCCCAATCAGCCATCCGCAGGGGGGCGGGCATTGAGACTGCCCCAAGAAAAACCAAAAGGGGAACGAAGCAAAGAGCAGGCCTCCCTATCATAGCAAATCAGGCAGCGGAACCCGGCTTTTGAACATTCCCCGTACTCTAAATACCTTCCTTCCAGTTGCTTAACTTTTCCAGTAGTGATAGATTGCTTTTAAAACAAACAGCGGAACAAATATTCTTAAGCAAATGGACATGTATCTTTTTCATAGTTGTTTTTTGAAACAACCGAGCGGCTATCCTTGGTAAATACCTCCTTTGTTGGTGTTGGTAGAGGGTTGACAGAACACCAACTGAAAGAAGCGGGCCAATGTACTCCAAAGTCATATATGTCTGATGATCTTGTCTTTTTCTGGGTGTCTTTTTCAGGTAGGACCAAAGAAAATGTGGTTTTCTGTTGGTTTCCCTTTAAAACCATGAACAAGGGGTCCAACCCAAAAACAGCCATATCCCCCCTCCCCCGCACTATATAAAATCCGTTTGGTTTGGAGAGGCTTCCTTAACACCAAGTCAATTCAGATATCCATCGGGTGGCGCAATCAAAGACCAGAATGTTTGCCTCAGCGGCTTCACCAAGTACCCACAGTGACGCTTGATTTGTCTACCGTTGATTCTCGCGAGATGTGGCGTTTTGGTTTATCAATCTGGTTTCATGAAAGGGGTGCTTTTCCCTGGTTTGAGTGGTTGGATGCGGACCACTTTTGGAGAGCCAAACACCCATGAATCCGGGGCCAACATGATGGTCTCGAAGCCGAGCACCGCTCGATGCGCCGCCCTTTTCGAACGAAGGTCGCAGGGATCGGACGTTCACTTCAGGGCCGCCACGGGCAGCCCTGACCTCGAAAGCGGAAAGTTTGGCTCAAAGGTACCCGGACCAATTTGTCATGGTCTTCTGCCCTCAGATCCCCCGCGAAAAGCTTTTGTTTTCTTTTAGTGGATTAAATGGAAACTCCGCTCTAAAAAAGCTGAAGAGCTAAGTTGAAGCGGATGGCCTTTGGCTTCGCCACCAAGTCTTCACAAGTTTTTCTAAAGTCCGAGTGACCACTAAACTCACTTGCCCAAAGGACCTGCAAATAAAGGGTGATCACCTTTTGGGACCTCTACTAAAGATAGACCAAAAAGGGAAAACCAAAAGGTCAAAAGGTCGATTCGCTTTGGACAACTGAGTAAAACTTGCGATCGGTGCGTTGGAATGAGAATTTCAACCCTCCCTTGCGGGTGGTTTCCTTTAAGGCGACCTGCATTAATTCCCACATTCCTCAGCAAGAACATGGTCTGCCCAAGTGACTCCAGGTCCTCCAGTTGAGGTTAGAATAAGTTGGCACCAACTTTTTTCGGCTTTGTCTACCTCCCTTCCCCCCTTCCCCCCTTGCCCCCTTCCCCCCTTCCCCCCTTCCCTATTTCAGTACAACCCTCCACGAAAAAAGTTGGTCAAAGGGGACTGGGGGACCTTGGACAGTCCGAGAAACGGAACGGGAGACTCAGGGAGTGAGAGTTGGGGTTTGTTTCCTGCGGGGTTGGGTCGGGGTTTGGCTAGGTTTTCCAGTAGCTTACCCCTCAAAACTCCAAGCCCTGGGGAAGTTCTCATCTTTTACAGACATATAGCCCATGCTACCCAAGAAGTTGAAAAGTTGTGTTTTTAAGAGGTAAGGTAGACTTGGAACGAGGGTACCCTTTGTTCCTGTCTAGTAGGGGAACCCTCCACGCAAAAAGGGGAGAGAAGGGCACTGGGACACCCAGGGCACCTTCAGGGTCTGAAAGGCACCCCCGCTGCCACAGGGTTGTGCAACGGGAAAATGTTCAGGGTATACTCGCCTGGCATGGTTTTCTTGCAGATCTGAAGGAAATGGCCAAAGGAAGACTACACTCAGTTGTTCTGTGACCCTGGAAAAAACGGGGAACCCTTTTTTGGGAAGACCATTTTAGTGGGGCAGCCACCAAAAAAAAATGGGAAAAAGGGAGCCACTGAACAACTGAGTAAAGGACTCGTTTCTGGGCTGGCCAAACTGAAGCCCTGCGAAGTCGTCGAACACTTTAGTGGTTGAGTGGAAACCCAGAAACCTAAAAGCCTATGTTGAACCGGATGGCTGGAAACCACCAAGACCTTAGAGCGAGAAACTTGGGGGAGGAGGTGGGTTGGTTTGTGCGCCTGGGCCCCATTTGTTTTTTGAGGCAATGAGATCAGAAACTGCGATTGAACAAACCTGCCCCCCGGAACAGACCACTGGGCTGACCAAACTGATCCGCTAAAAGCTTGGCTTTTCATGGGTTACATAGACCGCTACACCAACCAAAAAACAACTACTCCAAATACCCTCTTTTATATGGTATTTTCTTGAAAAATATTGGTTTCCATGGTAACTACCTCCTTTTTTAGTAGGTCGACACCAACCCTAGAAAGAGGCCTCGGGTATTTTTTTCGAGGGGGATTTGGGGACGGCGGGAATGGGCTTTGCCGCGACCGGGTCGATCCGAAGCACGAGCCCCCTGTATTCATCTATCCCCAGGGTCGCCCCAGATGCGGACTTGTGGCCCTCAGGCCTTGGAGGAAACCAGGCGATGCAACGACACCAGCGAGATAGAGGCGAGCGACGTTGAGCAATAGTCAACATTCACCATCAACCAAAGGCAGTATTCACAGTTCCAGGGGTACCTTCCCCATTCTTTCTAGGGATCCTTCTTTCTAGAAAAAAACGCCGGAAACCCAGGGAAAACGGCTGTTTTTGAAAAGATGGTTGAAAAGAATGGGGAATCAACCCCTAGAACAGTCAACATTGTGTAGCCTGCCGGAGGTTGCTCGACAAAGATCTATGAGTCTTGATCGGGAACACGCTCAAAAAATGGCTTGTGGAGGTTATTATCTCCATGTATATGAGTGTCTTTTTGTCCAGGATTCGGACTAGAAATGAGCAGAACCCCAAAACCAAAATATAGGCAACAACCAAGCACAAAAAGAGAAGAAACAACAAAAGGATGAAAACCCCGGTCCCCCATTGTAACATGGGCAACCACCGGGGGGGGGGGGGGAATTTACAACAACAAAAAAGAAGAAGAAGAAAAAGGGGGAGAAACAAAAAACAAAAAGATAAACGATACCCCCCACCCCTCCGCCCCCATGCGCCGGTCGTAGCTTTTGGCGATCCGCCGATCGGCCGTAGCGAAGAGAGCCGGAGGCTTAGGCTCCCTACGCCACCCAACCGTTGAAGCCATCATCCTCAGTGAAAAACATAATCCTCCGCGGCGCGCTCGGTTTTTTCTTTTTTGCGATCGGCCCAAAAAGGGGGTGTCCATTTTTTGGGGGGGAACCCCCCCCCCAAAAAAAAAAGAAAGAACAAAGGAGCTTTGGTGTCCTTTTCCCTTTAAAACTCACCGAACAAGGGGTACAATGTGGTGTCTCTTTCTAGCATTCGGACCCCCAAATAGCCAAACAGTCTTGCTTTTGGTTTCCCTTTAAAACACAGTTTAAAGCATTCTAGAACCGACAAACACATCGTACATGTTTTTCCCGGCAATTGCAGGGTTGTTCCGGAAGTCCTACCTGGGTGCAAAATTGGTCCCTGGTGATTGGGAACCTCAAACATCACCCTAAAGGCAAACTCGAAGCTTGGCGCAACTGGTGATGTTTCAACTGGGTCCTCCAGTTTTGGAGGATAGAATAAGTTGGTACCAACTTTTCTCGGTTTTGTCTATTTTAGTCCCAACCAAAATTCAAGGGGTGAGAAGTTGGGCACCAATTGCTGGGGGAACCTAGAAATACCCCCTACTCCGAAGACCCTTTCGGCTTTTTCTAGGGTAATTGTGATTTGTCGACCCTCTACGAAACAAATATATCGGTATTTGCCATGAGGACGAATTTCAACCTGGAGCTAAGGTCCTGGCCAACTCTTGCACGTTCACGTACCCGGCCTCGAGCGCTCTCGCGCTCGAGCACATGGCACTTGCAACGAAATACAGCGCCCGGTGGGCCGAGAAAAATTTGCGTGACCCCCCCCCCCCAAAGAGAAGAAACAAACAACTGGGGCCTCCCCCCCCCCCCGAAAATCGAAATTTGCGTGGCCGAAATTCACGGCGTGAAGCCACCGACTAACACTCACACACACACACACACAAAGAGACACACACACACACACACCCACGCACGCACGCACGCACCCACGCACCCACGCAACCACGCACGCACGCACGCACCCACGCACCCACGCAACCACGCACCCACCCACCCACCCACCCACCCACCCACCCACCCACCCACCCACCCACCCACCCACCCACCCACCCACCCACCCACCCACCCACCCACCCACACACACGAAGCGCAAAATCAACAAAGGGTTTCAGCCCGCTATAGAAGGGAGCAACAGAAAGGATGCACTGCTTTCACACGTCACAGATTTACAAGATACAGCTACGCCAAACTTTCGCGAGCAAAAAAAGTTCCTTTCGCAACTCCATCGCGAAATCTCGCGGAGGTACCTCAACCAACACCAATGGTCCGGGATACGAAACTTGGTTGACGTTGGAAGGGGGAGCAACAATTTTATCTTTAAGCATGGGTCAAATTTCAACCGCTAAACCACAATAAGCAAACGCAAAAAATGTTGCCCAACATGACCACGGGAAACTCACCTTACATTGTGGAACGCCATGAGGTAAAGCAGGGTGGGTAGTTGAGAGCCCTTGTGGCTGCCAAAGCGAAGCGGCTAGCCTGAACTCCGATTGGCAGCTCGCGGCCGCCGACCCCGGCGAAGCACGAAGTGTAAAAAAACAACCACCATTCCAGCAAAAATGGAAGAATGCCAAAAAAACAGGGAGAGAGAGAGAGAGAGAGCAGGAGCGGCTCCCGGATGTTTTGGGGGGGGGTCGAAAAAACGCCGCCGCGTCCCTTTCCCGCGGACCCATCGCTCGCTCGCTCCCGCTGCTGGGCTGTCGGGCGGCCTCCAGCACCTGAGCCGCTGCCTGCGAGCCACCGCAATCCGCGCGTGGAGCTTTCGGCTTTTCGGGTTCGGAACCGTGGCACCTTCCCCCGGACCAAAAACGGGAGTGAGCTAACATGGAAAACCAGCGGAAAAAGCGGAGAGTGCTTTTGTTTCTCTCTTTTTTTCCGGAACATTGACAATTTCCAGCCCCAGAAGCGGGGAAAAACGGTGGAGTTTTCGTGTTTTTGGGAATATGGAAGATGTCCTTGGAGTGGGATTCGATGAAATGTTGGTAGATGATGAAACAAGGTTCACCAGAAATCTACTTTCTACCAAGACGACCAAATAAAGAAACTTAATTCTGGCCACAACCCCCTCTCCCACACAAAAAGAGAAAAGAAAAAGAAAAACATTAAAACAATAACAAAACAAAAAAAACGAAAAACACCTTCCGAACAATTTGAAACAAATGCCCCTTACGGCCGCTTACAGTTTCGGGGACGCCCCAAAAACGACGCTCGACGATTCGAATCGCCTTGGAGCGGACGCCACCAGCACAGCCCACCACAATCCTCGGGTGAATTTTTCGGGGCTTTATCCCCGTTCCGCTCCCGCTGTTGCCTTGGCTGGAACTAGGACCCCAGCAAAAACGAAATACGTTTGGCCTGGTGGGTGGAGAACAAAGACGAACTTAACTTCAGCTATATACCACGATTAAAACGATGGTTGGGCGAATTTTTCTCCACCAAGATTCACCTAACCCCACCACCCAAATCAATCTGTTGTGACCGGTCTGTCCGTTTTCAGATCCCTGAAAACGGAAAAGTGAATAACTTGTGGGTTACATTCGGACACCTCCATCAGACCCTAACTTGTAACAACCCTAAGGAACCGAATGGCCGGGGACCACCAAGAACCCTGGATTCAAAACTTGCAAAAAAACAAAAGGTTGATTTGGGTGTGGGTCAAAAATAGGGTACTAAAAGAGTACTAACAAAAGAACCTACAGGGTTAAGAACAGGTGAAATCCACAAAAAGCGCATCCAAACCGTTTTCTAGATGTTGGGCGGTTCTTTTGAGAGGTTGTCCAACCCCCGCAACCTCCAAATACCCGATGCCTTTTTTTGGTATGATTTGTCGACCCTCTACTAAAAAAGGGATCGGTATTTACCATGGAAACCCGATCGGTTTTCCAAAAAATAGCAACAATAGAAAAAGAGGGTTTTTGGAGTAGGGGGAACACTTCCCCAGACTTAGCTCCCCCTTTTCGATGTTTCTCGCTTTTTGGGGTCCCGTTTCTTTGTTTTTCACAAACCCGGCAAACAAATCTAGATTTTGCTGGGGTCCTAATTCCAGCGCAGGAAACAGAAGCTTTATTTCACCAAAAAGGAGGGATGGCCTTGACAATGGAAAGCAAAAAACCTGAGACATGGGTTAGCGGCCACTTTCTGTCATAATTTGGAATCTTCCTTTGAAGTGACCCTACCCAGGTACCTCTTAAGCTCACGTAGCGGTCAAATTCCATATCCTGGTGGCTTGGTTTTGACCCATTCGATTGGAGCCCCGAGTGATTCGGACTTCGGACCCAGTGGGAGACGCTTGGGAGGCCCCCACTCTTGGGTTTAACGGAAGCCCAGGCACACTGAAACTCCACGTGGGTATGGCTCCAAAAACCGGAATTCCAAAATGGCTTGCCCGATCGGCAAGTGGAAACATGGGTACCAAAACCTGCGTAACCCTAGCTCTTTAATTTTGAGCCACTGCCATGTAAAGTTACAACCAGGTGTTCGCATCCAACCCCTTTGAGCAGGGGGTCAAGCTTTGCTTTCCGGGATCTCACTTGGTCGGAAAGCGGAAGTTGCTGCGCGAGAACTGCCGAATCGGCACCCATTTACAGCCTCAGGTTTGCGCCGTGCATGTAACAACATTACAAGCTCAGCTGATCTTGCACCTGGCTGCTGTTTCCTCCGTATTCTGGATAACCCCAGGTCACAACAGACCCAGATGCAAGAATCGCAGCAAAAGCAAGGCCAGTTCTTTGGATGTGCTGAACGTTCCTCAGCTGCTTTTGCACCTGGCTGCTGTCTCCTCCGAATTCCGGATCACCCCAGGTCACGACTGTCCCAGATTCAAGAATGGCAGCAGAAGCACTTTGAGTTGCTTGGATGTGCTGCACATTTCTCAGCTGCTCTTGCACCTGGCTGCTGTCTCCTCCGTTTTCTGGATCACCCCAGGTCACAACAGACCCAGATGCAAGAATCGCAGCAAAAGCAAGGCCAGTTCTTTGGATGTGCTGAACGTTCCTCAGCTGCTTTTGCACCTGGCTGCTGTCTCCTCCGAATTCCGGATCACCCCAGGTCACGACTGTCCCAGATTCAAGAATGGCAGCAGAAGCACTTTGAGTTGCTTGGATGTGCTGCACATTTCTCAGCTGCTCTTGCACCTGGCTGCTGTCTCCTCCGTTTTCTGGATCACCCCAGGTCACAACAGACCCAGATGCAAGAATCGCAGCAAAAGCAAGGCCAGTTCTTTGGATGTGCTGAACGTTCCTCAGCTGCTTTTGCACCTGGCTGCTGTCTCCTCCGAATTCCGGATCACCCCAGGTCACGACTGTCCCAGATTCAAGAATGGCAGCAGAAGCACTTTGAGTTGCTTGGATGTGCTGCACATTTCTCAGCTGTTCTTGCACCTGGCGGCTGTCTCCACCCCAGTCGGCAAAACCCCAGGTCACAACAGCCCCAGATTCAAGAATGGCAGCAAAAGCATTGGAAGCTGCTTGGATTTGCTGAAACTTCCTCAGCTGCTTTTGCACCTGGCTGCTGTCTCCTCCGAATTCCGGATCACCCCAGGTCACGACTGCCCCAGATTCAAGAATGGCAGCAAAAGCACCTTGAATTGGGGGCTTGGATGCACTGGACGTTTTTCAGCTGCTCTTGCACCTGGCTGCTGTCTCCGCCTCCAGTAGCACCACCCCAAGTCACAACAGCCCCAGATTCAAGAATGGCAGCAAAAGCACTGCCAGTTGCTTGGATGTGCTGGACGTTCCTCAGCTGCTCTTGCACCTGGCTGCTGTCTGCGCCCTGTGCACGATTACCCCAGGTCACAACATCCCCAGATTCCAGAATGGCAGCAAAAGCTCCATCAGTTGCTTGGATGTGCTGAACGTTCCTCAGCTGCTCTTGCACCTGGCTGCTGTCTCCACCGTATCCCGGATCACCCCAGGTCACAACAGCCCCAGATTCAAGAATGGCAGCAAAAGCACCACCGCTTGCTTGGATGTGCTGAACGTTCCTCAGCTGCTCTTGCACCTGGCTGCTGTCTCCACCGTATCCCGGATCACCCCAGGTCACAACTGTCCCAGATTCAAGAATAGCAGCAAAAGCATCAGCATTTGCTTGGACGTGCTGGACGTTCCTCAGCTGCAGCTTGTCTCTCTCAGACTTCGCATCAGCCCAGGTCACGACTTCGCCCCCGTGGCCATGAAAAGCAAACGCCCTATGAGTGGCAGCCAGTTTGCCAAGGTTCACAACCACATCCACTACATCCCCATCTCGCAAGCCGGCCTCGTTCAGCGTGGCCGTTGAATCGATCTGCCGGCCTTTCACAATGAGCTTCAAGCGCCGCTGGAAGTGCTGCTGCGCTGCAGCCTTCAGCTCGCTGATGGGCGTCTCCGGTGAGACTTCTATGGAGCAACCATCGCCACTGGGCAAGTGAACATCCACCTTCATGGCGCAGGGTGGCTCTTCTGCTGGATGCAAGTTGTAAAACACAAACCTGAGAGTCAAAAGCCGGTCAATTAGGGGGGGGGGTGTTTCAGGTTCAAGGATACTTGTTGAGTGGGGTACTCATCCAAGCGCGTCGGGGAATAAACCTGCCAAGACCAAATAGAGCCTGAGCCGGTACTCTCCCAACACAGTCGGCCCAAAGCAATGCGCGGCATACGAAAAGGCCTCGAGAAGATCCTACTAGATCAGGGAAACCTTGCTGTAAGGCTTCATGCACAACCGAATCCAACTGCAACAAAGCTCCCTCCTTCAGCATGCCCCCGACTCCAAATACTCACTTTTTTAGGGTATGATGTCGACCCTCTACTAAAAAGGAGGTATTTACCTTGCAAAACCAAGTTTCCTATTTGGAGTAGGGTGTGCATTTAGCGACCCACACATGTGCCGCATTTGCTATTTCTGCACCTCTTGGTGTCCCTCTAAAACCACAAACAAAACTAGGCTGTCCTCAGATCCCCCGCTAAAGGTTCACTTTTAGTGGGCCAAATGGAAGCCCCCACTAAACACTAAAAGGCCAAAAAGCGAAGTTGAACCGGATGGCTGGGATCCACCAAGAAAAACGGCACCCTCCAAAAAACCCACTCCCCGACTTCGCCCCATTTCGCCAAGTTTTGTTTCCAGTGTCGCCGGGCGGCTTCGTCTCCTTGTCCGGCAGCTCTTCCTGCACCGCCTCCAACCAGCCCTACGAGGCGACCGCTTGGCGAGGGCGACCGAAGGGAGCTCCTGGCTTGGCCCCCAAAAAAGGTCCACCTGGGCGCTCAACACGACCAACTTACACCGTCCCCCGTAACCTCCAAATACCCGGCCTTTTCTAGTTGGTATTTTCTTAAGAAAACCTGGTTTTTCAAGATAAATACCTCCTTTTTTGGTAGAGGGTCGACATGATACCCTTAAAAAAAGTGGGTATTGGGTTTAAGGGGATGGGGATCACCAACCACCCTAGGGGTACCTTCCATTTCCATTCTTTCCTGAAACCATCAAAAACACGGGGGGGGGGGAAGCAGCAGCTTATTGAAAAGAACGATGGTTGAAAGAATGGGGAATCAACCCCTAGAACCACAAGCTAGTCCTCAGGACACCTGCTGAGCTTTATATATATATATACACATATACTGGACCCTCCAAACTAGCCTTAAACATGGGGAGTTCACCAACCATAGTTTTGGACTAGAACCTATATTTAGAGAAGTTTGATCCAGGTAAACAGTAATCCCAGGGAACAGATTTTGGAGAGTGGGCCGCCATGAAACCTGTGTTTTCGCAAGCAGCCTGTTCTACGGCTTGTCTGATTTCGGGGCAACCGACTTTTTAGGATAGCTTGAGGGTGCTGGCAAACTTGTTCTTTACCCAAGTGACAATCAAGTGACAACCAAGTCCATGAACTTGAGTGGGAAAATCCAGAAGTGTCCTGTCTCTCCAGGCTAGAAACAAAACGAACCGATGTCCGAGATTCATTTTTGCATTTTTGGGGGAACCCCCAAAAGAAAATCCACTAGGCGTTTGTTTAGGGGGCCCTTCGTGGACAGTCCACCACTTGTGATGTGGCTCCCGGTTAAAACTCACAACCAAAAGGCTCCGTTTCAATTTTTGGGGGTCCAAGGTTTTCCCTGTGGTTTCCTATCAACAACTGATATGCCACTAAAACACCCGCACCCACAGCTTGGTTGACGTCGGAACGGGAGCAAAAATATAAATCTTAGCAGTTCAGTGGAAGGGGATTTCAACCACCAAACCACAATCAGCAAAAATGGAAGAAATGGTTCCCAACAACAAACGTGTCTACTGCTTTTCTCCGGACCTTGTCTTCTTGATTTGGAGGGGGCAGGAAAACGCTTGGAACCATGACAGGGCCATTGGGCTGGTCTGTGCCTTTGCGACCGGGAAAAAGCAGCGGCTTCTCTGGGCTCAGATCTCCCACTTCGGCATGCGAAACTCGGAAGCCCAGAGCTTCCTCGGCCGTAGCTTAGGCCTTTGGTCAACGGCCTTTTTCAACACCCCGTAAGAAGGCCACGTAAAAAGCCCCGTAAAAAGGGCGTAGACAGCCCGTAAAAAGGCCACGTCAAAAAAAAAAAAAAACGTGTTTAAACGGCCTCCGTAACTCAGGCCTTTGGACTCCCTGGGCAACCACTAAACACCAAAACACGGCTGTGGGGAATGAAATCCACTTCTTTGATACAACGGAAAGGGCTAACGGAAAGACTATTGTGTTCATAGAAAGGGGGAGTCCAACTTGTATCACAGAAGTGGTTGGAGAAACCCCGAGTGATCCCACAACCCTGCACTAAAAGGATCTAAAACGCTGAGGAATTGGATGGAATTCGGGAACCACCAAGTTCTGTTTAAGGGAATATCTTCAAAAGTCGACGATTCCTCACACCCTCAGCCGATAAAACCCCCAGGCGGGCACTTGGAGTACTGGCGGCCTTGCCCCAAAAGATCAGGGATCAAGCCATACGAGAAAGCGGCTCCCCGGGTCGCTCACCGTCAAATCCAGAAGCCGGATCTTTAAACTGGCAACCCGAAATTGGCGATGGTGGAATCAAACCCCTTCAAGGGGCAATATCTGGGAAAGCATTCGTGTTCTGCTGCTTGGCTGTGTGTCAAGACCGGTCTTAGTTCTTCAAGCAGATTTTCCGCACTTGCCCCGCGCCTTGGACAGAGGTGATCACCTTCCTTGACTCAACTGGGCCGTTCTCAGGTCCCCTGCGAAAGGTTGAACTTCTCTTGGGTATTCGGAAACCCCAGTAAACCCTTAACACCCCAGCAACCAGGGGACGGCTGGGAACCACCAAGTACACGTAGACCATATCAGAGAAACCAAAAGGTGAAACCGGCTTTGGGCCGGTGAGTTTTGGTACGCTCCCTCCCACGAACATGGCACTTGACAGGGAAATGCACCCTCCAAGAGGAAATTGATCTTCCAAGTACCTCCCCAGAGGTGCCATGTTAGTGGGACTAGGTCCTCCAGTGGAGGGGTTAGAATAAGGGTACCAACTTTTTTCTGTAGTCTATTTTAGTAGGGGAACCCTACCCCCCAAAAAGTTGGCTCCAAGGGCACCTAGCTGGAGCACCTAGGTGGGAGGAAGGGTATCCAACACCACGTCCTGGTTAAGAACGATCTCCGCTCACTCCTTGTCCCATATTTCCGCTCACGTCCCGAGCTCCCACCCGGCCTCGCTGTCGAAGTACATGCCTGCGGATCAATCGGTCAACGAGTAAAGGCCATAAAGCGCTCCACACTGCTCCTCAAAATGCTGCACCCCCCCTTTTGTTGGCATTGTATTTAAAGGGAACCTGAAAAGGAAACCCGTATATTTGTGCGGGTGTACCACCTTTGTCGGTCTTCGCAAAAGGCAAAAAGCAAGCAGAGACACCTTCCGGTTCATTCCCAAGACCCTGGCTCATTCCCTACCTATCACACCAGCAAGCTTGCGGGCTCGTCAAGTGGGTGTGGGTCAAAAGTAAACCACTAGGGGACCGCAGGCTTTAGTCTAGGGGAGTTAATTTCCCTAGACATGATGTAGTCAGGTACCGCAGGTTTGTTCCATTGACTAACAGGGCTGTCCCCCAAAGACTACCTCGCCATTCAAAGAGGGGATTCCCTTGCATCACAGAAGTGGTTGGAAAAACCCCTTGATCCCACAACCCTGTTGGCTAAGGTTCCATTCTGGGGTTACCCTATTTTTCACCCCCAGCCAAGCTATTGGGAAGCCAGCCCGCACCTCGCGGCGAAGGCGCATGAGAGGTGACCTGGACCCAAAAAAATGCGCCGCTGCGCGTCGCGCGGACCCGCGCCGTTGAGCGAAGCAATGGCTTGTGGCTACCCCGTAACCACCCAACACCCGATGCCTTTCTTCAGTCGGTATGATTTGTCGACCCTCTACTTTAAAAAGGGATCGGTATTTACCTTGCAAAACCAAGTTTCCCAAAAAGATGCCCTAGAAAAAGTGGGTATTTGGAGTAGGGGCTATGCTTGACGCACATCAATACACAAATATGGGGTGGCTCGTCTTTTTTTACAGGTTGGACCCCCCAAAATGGCAAGACAGGTGTCCTGTTGGTTTCCTTCAAAAAAAAAAACGCCGAAAGGGGTCACCCTCAAAAAAGACACGACCATATCGGGTTGGCTTTATGAATATGACTCAATAAAAACATTCATATAAATTTCGGACACGGAAGCATGGCTTCAAGGCATTTTGCCGGTCAAGCGAGCGTCCCTGAAAATCCGCAAAACAGGGCTCCCTACATTTCCCCTTAAAACATCACCCCAAGGGACACTCACAGTTCATGAGCCAAAATGTTGATGTTTGAAACCACCAAAAAGGGAAATACAGGGACCCCTGCAAAACCCGGATCCTTCTCTCTCTTTCTCTCTCTTGATGGAAGCCCCTCTGGTTATGGAAGAAAGTAGCCGAGAGCCTTTTTGACCACGGTTCCCGCCCGCCTTCATAAAAGGCGTTGAACCACCCCCCAAAATGGGACTCCATCTGGAGATGGTCGTCTCTCAACCCCCCGTGCTCTCCAAATACCAAGTCTGTCGACACATCACGCCAACTGAGAAAAAAGAAAGCGCGACAAACCAAAAGCGCAGCCAAAACCAGCTTGCGAAAGCGAAGCCAAAACGCTCAACTGGAGGGCTTGCTTCAGGAGAGCACTCTTCATTCCGCATCCCGGAGCGTGGGGGTGGCTCGAGCGGTGTGCCAAAAGCACCAGATATCCTTTTGCGCGGAAAACCGAGTGCTGAAGACCTGCACCAAAGAAGACGAAGACACGGGGCCAGAGTTGAAAACCTCGCCGTCTTGAGGCCCAGGGGCCTTTCAACCAATCTGGCAATCACCTGCAAAACGGGGCAACGGTGAAGTGCACCTGCTTAACACATCCAAAACCTGATCAAAATATGGGAAGTAAAGAGCCTCCACCGGCAGCTCTTTCACCCCCAGAATCGGAGGAGTCAGCTCGCCACGCGTTTTTTTTGCTTCTCTTTTTTTGTGACAAAAGCGCACCCAAACCGGTTTCTAGGGTTAAAAGGAGGATACCGGGTTTACAAATAACCACGGTTCTCGCCTTGCTTTGCATAGTGAGTCAGAGCCTTCTCGCAAGAGCCTTCTCGCAAGAGCCTTCTCGCAACTCAGCCCGTGAAGCCAAGCGGACACGTAAGCTAAGCAATGCTAAGAATCCCCGTGGCCAGGGAAAAGAAGATCCGCAGCCTTCTACTGGCAGTTGAATTATAATTTAACCACCAATGATTATAATTGATTACCAAAATCCATTGGAATAACTTGATGATAATCATTTTTCCAATTTCATTTATATGTTTGTCCTCTTCCCTTTTCCCAGGGGTTGAGTCCTACCATTATTTTCAACCATCGTTCTTTTCAAAATCCGATCGCTGTTTCCCCTGGGGTTCTGATGGTTTTTTGGAAAGAAGGATCCCTGGAAAAAAAATGGAAATGGGAAGTGTCTCCTAGATTTTTGGGCAGTTGAGTTTACAAGGAAACCTGCCCAGGGCAGGGGTCTCCCTGGAGTCCCGCAAATCCAAAGTTGGGTTCCCAAAACGGGAAACGGCTCGGAAACCCGCGTAGAAGGCGTTGGTATTTGGAGATTGCGGCTTGATGTTCGACTCGCCAAGATAGCAAGCGGTCAGCCTGGGCGAAAAACCCCACCAATGTCAACCTAGGACTAAAGTGATGTTGTTAGAGCCTGCCCCCCAAAAACGACCCCACAAAATTCAGGAGCACATGTGATTAGAGCCTGCCCCCCAGAAACGACCCCAAAAATTCAGGAGGCCCCAGCCCAAATCAAAAGCTCCGACACCACCGAGACACGCTCTCTTTCGCGCGCTTTCGCTCGCATGTTCCGGTTCCTCGGGTTCCCGGCCAAGTGGTAGCGGCTGGCTTTGGGCACCGCCGGAACGCCCAGCTGGACACCCTGCGGCAAAAAAAAAGGAAAAAAAGGGAAAAAAACGCGCCCGAAGAAAAAAACCAACAAACCTAAAATCCTGTCAGACTGTCAGGAACCAGATGGCTGGGAACCAAGAAGTAAATCAGGCACTGGACACCCTGCAGGAAGAAAAAACAACGCCCCGAAAAACGAACGCCGTGGCGTGCAATCTCCATGGGCCGGTGCTTGGTTTTCTACATGGGTATGGGTCAAAATGAAACCGTCAGGAATTGGACTGTAGAACCCATGTTTCCATTTATTTGGGCAAGCCATTTTGGGTACCGATGTTTGACCCACTGCACATAACATTGTCTTTGGAGTCGCAGTTTGGACTAAAACCTTCAAGGTCACTCCCTGGTGGCTTCACTTTGGCCCAGACCCAGTTCAAAACACATGTTCTTTACTGGGATGTCCAAACTGATCCGCTGCTAATGGGCTAAACGGAAACCTGGGCACTTAACAAACTAAAAGCAACTGAAATCCGGATGGCTGGGAACCAAGTAAATCAGGCATGGGAAGTTGATTTCAAGCTCCCGCTATAGCACAGCGAGCTGAAACCCCCATTTGCTCTTTTTCCCCTGGAAAACGAACGAATCTACCCCGTAGTGAACTTGATTCCCTTTGAAGCCAACAGGGGGAAATACATCATACCCCCTACTCCAAATACCCGGCCTTTTTTTTAGGGTATCATGTCGACCCTCTACTAAAAAAGAAGGTATTTTACCATAGAAACCCAGGTTGTTCAAAAATACCAACTAGAAAAGTGGGTATTTGGAGGTTACGGGGGTAGTCTGAAACGCAAACGGAAGTTGCTGACTCTTCTGGACCAAGGAAGTGACGCCTGAGGGGAGAACCACCTCCACGCAGCCTTCGAATCCACGTGAGGTAAGTGGTTCTGGTTATAACCTACCAAAGCCAGGGTTGTAAGTCCACCCTTTCTGGGTAACCAGGGTACTAACTGGTTGTAAGTCCACCCTTTCTGGGCCCCTGAAGTAAACACTTTCGAACCAGCAGATAATGTTTCTCCTCAGGTGATACCTGGCCCCTGCATTCAGTGACGCCGCGCGCACGCCAAAGAGCAACCAAGTGTTGTTCCCCTTGTTTGATGATCCCGCTACGAAAGGGACTAGGTCCTCCAGTAGAGAGGTTAGAATACCCCTTACACCCAATACCCACATTTTTTGGGGTATCTAAAAAAAGAGGTATTTACCTTGAAAACCCAGGTGTTCCAAAAAATACCCTAGAAAAAGTTGGTATTTGGAGCAGGGGGTCAGGGTACCCTTTTTCTGTAGTCTATTTTAGTAGGGGAACCCTCCCCCAAAAACGGGTAAAAGGGCACTACTGGGGGACCTAGGGGGATTCACCCCAAACGCTTGCAAACATGGAGCCCTCAAATCGGCTGGACCTTTCGCGACATTGGAGCTTGGATGCGCCGAAAAGCAGAAAACCCTGTGCCCATTCTCCTTAGTGAGTTCAATGTTGGTGCGGGTAAGCTTCAAATGGTTGACCATACCCCCGTAACCTCCAAATACCGACGTTCTTTTTCTGTCAACCCTCTACTAAGAATGGAGGTACTTGCCACGGAAAACCGATCATGTTTTCAAAAAGTACCAGAGAAAGGGCGGCTATGTGGAGCAGGGGGTAGATGCAAGTTGATGTTGTTCCCCCTTTTTTTCCGGGAGACTTCATGGGGGGCTAACTGGGGACTAACTGAGCAATCGAAAATCGGCCTGCCAGAATAAAAGACCGCCAAAATTAAGGTTGCCAAAATTAGAGGGTACCAAAATTGAAGGTTACCAAAATTAGAAGGGGTACGAAAATTAGGTGTGCCAAAATGAGAGGTGCCTCTTGTCGTCACGAGCAGCCACTCGTCGGCTGCTCTGGCTATAACTCTGAATTCGTTATTTTAATGCTTCAGTTGGCGGAATGGTGCGCATTCCCAATCGACCTGTATCAACCTCCACGCATAAACCGTTTCACGATTCCCTGCCAAAAGGTTAGCTTGTGGGTTAAATTCTGAAACTACCGCTAAACCAACTAACAGCCTAAAAAGCTAAGGAACCGGACGGCTGGGGGCCAGCAAGTTGATAAACCCTTGTAACTGGGGTTAGGCGTTTGAAGTCTAACTCCCAAATGGCCCAAGCTTTGGCCTTTGGGTGAAGGGAAGCAGGGGCCGCTGGATGTTGGTCAACTTACCCCCTACTCCAAGGTGTTTTTTCTTTTGTTGAAAACCCGGTTTTTCAAGGCAAACACCTCCTTTTCTTATAGAGGATCGACCTGATACCCTAGAAAAAGGCATCGGGTATTTGGAGATTCCGGGGGTACTGGTGTCCACTGAAACTGCCCATTTTTGGGTGAACCCAACCCCCCAATTTCAGTTCGGAGGTCCGAATCCAGACATCAGAAATTCTTTGGGAGGTGGTTTTGGGGCATGGCTTGAACTTCCCCGGGTTGATTCATTACCTTCCTTAAGACTCCCTGCGCAACCTGGGGAAGTTCTCATCTTTTACAGACATTTTTCGCCCATGTTACCCAACAAGTTGAGAAAAGTGGTGTTTTTAAGAGGTAAGATACGGGGACAGCATCATATTCCAAAAGCTGATTTGGGGCATTTCTCCAAGTTTTAGGACCTGACGCATGGCCTTCGCATCGTGAATCACCCCCCGATTTTCGGTGGGCGCTCACATAGGCAGAGGTCCTGCCACCGCTCGCCGCTTTTTCTTTCTCTCCGAAGGCCGCACGATGCCAGTTGCCAAGACAAGCTGCCAGTGGCCAATATGTTTTGTTGAAAACCGGTTTCTGCTTTTCCAGGTAAACACCTCATTTTTTAGTGGAGGGTCGACATGATACCCCCAAAAAAAGGGGTATTTGGAGTAGGGGGTCCCCTTATAAACAAAAGAGGGCATTTGGTAAAGGGGGTGACTTCCCCAAAAAACAGGTGTCTGAACATAGACCCCCCCAAAAAGGGTGGTCTTCCCTTTGGCGTCCCATGTTTTACCAACCCCAAAACGGGTCGATGAAGACGTTCAACCCCAAATCCAAACCATGTTCCCCAATCCAAACCAACGACCCCTTCAAATCCACCGATTCGGCTCCAACCATGGGCTGCTTGAATTCAATTCTCATGGTTCCGATCTTTTCAACCAGCGGTTTTTCAAAAGCCATTCGAGGTTTACCAGAAAGAACACTCTGAAAAAACTCTGAAGAAGCCGAAACAAAATCGTGAGTAAAAACCGATTGTTTGGCAAGACAAGATGTCCCCTATTCCAAATACCGTGTTTGTGTATTTGCGTTTTTAACCCAAACAACACGGTTTTCCATAATAAATCCGGCCTTTGTAGTAGAGGGCTGAAAAACAAACAACGGTACTTGGACTAGGGGTACACTGTTACCCGGGAAACACACACACACACACAAACCCATCAAAACTCGAAGGACAAAGATCCAGCGGGCAGCCAAGTCAATTGACGCCCCATCATTTGAGCCTCCTCGCCCGGGTTCTGCTTTGCGGCATAGTCGGGACAGGATACTTCGCGGTTCAGGGCCATGGCTAGGTCCTCCAGTAGAGAGCTTAGAACAAGTTGGTGCCAACTTTTTTCTGTAGTAAATTCTAGTAGGGGAACCCTCGCCCAAAAGAGGGTGAGAATTGGCACTGAGTAACCTAGATGGTTCTATCCTCGAAGCTTCCGAACCACACCGCCGCGAAGCCGCTTTCCGCCGAAGCGGTCGCCAGGATCGGTCTTCGAGTTCGTGTCAACGAGATGTTGGTAGCCCGTCCGACTTGCTGCGAACGGTACTCCTGCGGGCAAATGTGAGCTCTCCAAGGGGGAAACTCGGACCCTGCGGGTCCCACTTACCCCCGACTCCAAATACCCGGCCCTTTTTCTAGGGTATGATGTCGACCCTCCACAAAAAAAGGAGGTATTTACCATGGAAACCCAGGTTTTTCAAAAAAAACTGGAAAAAGTGGGTATTTGGAGTAGGGGGTAAGTGACAACCACCACCTGGGTGAAAAGTCCCACTAATGACAGAGGGTGAACTCCACTGAACGGGAGACCTTTTCAGCGGGTAATAAAATAACCCAGGTTACCAACCACTTGCGAGGGGGAGAGAGGACACTACTGGGGGACCTAATTGAGGGTACCCCTTAAATGAAACCACCATTGCTCAGGGTACGCCCCTTTTGACACACATGGGCGCGCCTTTTGTTGAGGGCAGCCTGTTTGCGGCGGTTTCGAAGGAAAACCAAAAGGACAATTAGCGTATGGGGCCAGCCTTAAAAAAGACACGTCCGTATCCGAGTTGGGACCCGAAAATGGTGGATGCTTGGTTCAGGAGTTTGCTCACTTAACTGGTTGTATGTCACACAGCCGCCGACTACAAATGAGCGCTGGTTCTACCAAGATGGCAAAACTAAACATGTGCAGGTCGTACCATATGTAATCCTTGCGGGTGCTTAAATGACCACTGTGAATGCACTGGAGAAAACAAGGGGACCACATTCCACCCCAAAGACGGGTGAGCTCGAAATTACCCCCCCATCCCCCAGTGAGGCTCCCTCGCTGCAATTCTCCGCACTTCTCGGGCACATCTTCTTTCCAAGGCGCCAAAAGTCGACCCTCTCCGATCCGAATTTGAGTGGTACCCTATCCGACCCTATCTTTAGTCAACCCTCTCCGCAGTTCGAGCTCGCCATTTTTCGCGTTTGCGTCTGCGCATCCATGCAGAAGCGGCGGCTCAGAACCCTCCGGCGGCTGTGCAAGCCGGCTTCTGCAACTCGGAGGCGTTCTTTTTCGAAGCTGCGAGCCGTCGGTCTGCTTGAGGCCAGCTGCAATCCACTGCAGAGAGTTTCTGGAAATCCTGGGTTGTGGTTGCAGGGCCCCGATGGTCCGGCCAAAAGGGGTCCAAATGGGACCACCAAAAAAAAATGGGCTGTCCTCAGATCCCCCGCTAAGCTTAACTTGTGGGTTACATGGAAACTCCCACTAAACCAACTAAAAGGCTAAAAGCTAAAAAACCAAGGGGATGGCTGGGAGCCACCAAGGAGGAACAATGAGGAAAAGAACTAATGCGCCACGAGATTCCACCGGTGTGGGATGATTCTTCACACGTCGCTGTCTTCTTCCAATCGCTCCGCCCACACGTTGTCGATGAAGATGTGGGCTGATGCGAAATGGGCCTCGAAGGCTCTCGCAACCTCCGGGCTCAGATCCAAGGCAGGCACCTTGGCGTTGCTCTCTCCAACCCAAACACTATGGGAACAGCGGGCTTGCAAACAAACTCGGAGTCCGTCCTTTTTTTCTGGGTTGCCGCCCCCAAACCGGAAAAAAAAAGAAGAAGAGCAGAACCAAAAAACTAAACCATGCTCCAACAAAAAAAGTTGGATCGACTGTTGGTGTGCCACTTGTTTAAGGTCTCCAGAGACCCCTTTCAGGGACCATCAAGTCCCTACGGAACTCCTACGGAACTCAGGGAGTGAGTTCGATTAATTTCTGCTGCTTTTCCTCTTCTTCTTTTTTTGGGGGGGGTGAAACAGTACAGCCTGGATCGCCAGTTGCTGTTTTTTCCCATGAACTTTAACTCCAAAAACCAACAACAGTGACTGAAAAAAGCGATCGCAACTTGTCTATCTAGGAGGTTTCCACGACGTCGCGAGGTATAGAAATCTAGCCCTTTGGATCTTGAGACCTTTGGGAACCCGTGTGGGCTGGTCTTTGAGGCTCGGTATCTGCCTTGTTTGCCTCAGTCGCCCAAAGGACCCAGAAACAAAAGGTTAACCTTTTGGGGCCTTTACTAAAGAAAGACCAAAATTGAAAAACCAAAAGGTTAAAAAAAAGGTCGGCTTTGGGCAACTGAGTTGTGGTTTTGAAGGAAACTAAAAGGAACACCACCCATTTTGAGCGTCCCAAGGGCTGTCCTTAGATCCCGCCAGGTACCCCCGCTTCAATTTTGACGACTTAGTCACCCCCTCCTCCCTCGACTCAAAGACGTCTGTCAGGGTTGGTTTCAAGCTTAAAGGGAAACCAAAGGGAAACCAAAAGGGAAACCAAAGTGAAACCAAAGGGAAACCAAAAGGAGACCCGAAATCCATTGGGTCTGGCTCCGATTCCCATTTCAAGCCACCCCAAACCCGCGACCGCGCATTTCTCCTCGGAAACCTTCGACTCGGCTCCACCGCGCGAAAAATTCCTTCGGCGCCTTCCGTTCGCCGTCGGGAAGCGGGAAGTCCACCTGGCGCAGCGAGTCCACCAGCGCGAAGCGGCTCAAGGGCGCGGTGAGGCACCCGCTGAAGCGCCGCAGACGCGGGCAGCCGCGCACCAGAACCGCCAGCATCTCGTTGGTCACCTCCGGGCCGAGGGTTTCTTCAGGCAGGTGGGTACCCTAACCTGCCAAGGACATGGGGAACTCAGATGCCCAGCAGATGTGTTTTGGTTGAGTTTTTCCAGGAGTCGGAACCCAAACCCCACAAAAAGGTTGAAAAAGGGGGCGGAATCCACTGGGCAACTGGGGCAAGTCCACCTGGGTAACCAGATTTACTCCCAGCCCGGCTCCTGGGTGGCATTGTAGATGTTGATCTCCTCCAAGTTGTGACAGTGACAGAAAGCCTCAAGGGCACAGGTGGCCTTTACAAAACCCATCTAAACCAGTGGAACCCATCTATTTTTCACCAGACACTCGGACACCTATGCTCAAGGGGCCTTAAGGGACCCTCAAAGCCGCCAGGAAGTTTCTTTTTTAGGGTACCCCCCAAATGATGGGTTTTGATTTTTTGGTTTCCCTTTTGCATCAACCCCAAAACGGGGCACCCCAAGAAACCACTGCAAATTATCAGCTTCAGGGAGAGGAAGACTTAAACCCAGGCGGTTCTGAACCACCCCTGGGTTTGAGTCTGCCTCGGTCCACAAGCGGAATGATCCGCTTTCAGCTCCCCTGCTAAAGCTTTAACTTTTAGTGGTTTCATACGGAAAACCCATTAGAAACGGCAACAAGTTGTTCAGTCCTAACATCCCTTGGCAAAATGCACCCAAGTTCCCATACCCACTTTTTTGGAGGGTTCCATGAGTTCCACTAAAAGGCTAAAAAGCTAAGGGGCTGGCTGGACTCTTTGGTGGAGCTATCTTCCACACCCACCCGATTCGTAAACCACGACGGACTCCCTAAAACTTCCACTTCATGGGGTGAAGGTCAGTGGCTTGGAGCTGAAATTATTTAAAAAAAGCAATGGGTGCGCATTAAAGCAAAGACAAAAACCAGGTATGTCTATATTGTGCTTGATGTTTTCTGGATTGATTTACAAAACAAAAAATAGAAGAAACCAACTAAGAGGGTGAGCCGCCCCCCTTGCCTCCAGGATGAATCGATAAGCTTCCAAGGGCAGCAAGCCGCTGGTCGAGCGGTGAGAGCAGTTCAAGACCCTCACGAGTGGAATCGATCGTCGGAAAGGTTCTAGGGTGATCTTAGGGTCAGGGTATGTGGTCGGGGTTTGTAGCCATAGCCCAAGCCACGGTAAGTCGTTGCATGGAAAGAAGGGAGGCACCTTTTGGCTCGTCTTCTTTGGGATGTGCTACCCATTGTTTCGGTGGTTTTGAAGGGCAAAAGGAGGGAGCCCCCTGAAAAAACGGACAACCCCCTTTTGCTTGGTACCAAAAAAAAGTCCCCTGCCTGGAGTTGCACACCTAGAGGCTCGTAGCCTGAATCTTTCGGCTGGTTCAAGTCAAATGTTCGTTCAAGTCAGATGTTCGTAAGTCGGGGTCCGTGACCATGGCATTTTAAGCCATGGTTGTAAGTCCCTGGTTACGAGGCTTACAGTTGCTGTGAGAAATGGAATCCACGTCTGATTCTGGCGACAAAAAGGGCTTCCCAAAGACTAACCACGCATAGATTCAGGGAGATGATTCCACAACCCTGGATCTTAGAGTCAGGGTATGTTCTACCTGATCCCCTGCTAAAAGTGACTAACTTGTGGGTTAAATGGAAACCATTCTTTCTCCGGATCCTTCCTTCTAGAAAACCTCCGGAAACCCAGGAAATTGGAAAAGAATGGTTAAAAAGCACGGTTGGAATCAAATCCTGGATATGTTAGGTTAGATGCTGTTTATTAGGCACTATAAAACCCTTTAAGAGTTGGGTGCAACCCCAGGTCGCAAAAACCTTGTCTGGGTTTCATTTGCGGAAAGCGATTTGTGTCACAAACCAAAAAAGGTTCGCTTTTTTTGGGTTGGAATTTCTTCACTCCAAAGCCATGGACGGGTCCGCTCGCGTAAGTTTCAAAGCCATGGCAAGTCCTGGCGTGGGACTTATTCCCCGTAACCACCCAATACCCATTGTTTTTAGTTGGTATCATGTAAACCCTCTACTAAGAAAGGAGGTATTTACCATGGAAAACCAGGTTTTCCAAAAAATACCCTAAAACAAGTGGGTATTTGGAGTAGGGGGTAAGCGTTACATGTTCCACTTTTTTCTCGGACCAAATCGATCGCCTTAAGTGGCCTAGTCGCCTCAAGTATCTGTGGACAGGGTGCAACCTGAATGCACACATCCAAAGGACAGTCTGTCTGTGATTGTTGATTTAGTCTATACGTTTTCAGATCCCATGGAAAGATGTTTAACTTGCGGGTTAAATGGAAACGACACCACTATTCCAACTAAGAACAACAAAACACACAAGGGGATGGCTGGGAACCACCAGTTGCTTGAGGGTTGGCTAGGCAAATGGATAACCAGCGTTTCTGGATTTGGCTCCAAATCCCGAACAACTTAAGACGCCGAATTGGACCAACGACCCTGCCTCAGGTTCTGGAATTGCCCAATCCGCCAGGAGGATGAAATGACCCGCTCGCCCAGAATCAGCTCTTGCAAGTCTTTGGCTGCGCAGGGCGGCGACACCTGGTCGAATTCCGCAACTGAAGAATACCATGCGAACCCCCAAACCTTTTTGTAGTTCCATGAAAAATCCGCCCCTCTTGGACATATTTTCGGGTTTGCCATCCAAAACACGCGTCGAATTGTCCTGAGAGACCCACACCAAAAAAAAAAACTTTTGGGTTGGTACTTTTCTACTGCCCCTTCAATTGAACATGGAACCCAAAAGGTGGGTTCGCTTTTGCGGAGACGCTTCTATGGGCTTTTCGTATGTGTTTCCCCACCAAAACGCGCATCTTCGATGGCCCGAATGAGAACCTGGAAATGTATTTTTGTTTAAACAAAAAGGCCTAACCAGATCCCAGAAAAGATGGTCACTTGCCGACCGGCCGAGTTCACTCGGAAAAGCAAACCTCAACTCAGCAAATGAGTTGAAGACACCAACAAAACGCAGTTCGGGGGTAACAATGGTGGCTTTCGAAAGCCGACTCGGGAAGTGGAAAGGACTAAACCCCAAAAAAATGGTACCCTGGTGGTAAAAATCCGCCCATGCCCAAGGTGTTGAGTCCAAAAGAAAAGCCAGGCGATATCCCCAAACGCACCGGAACTTGCTGGAGCCCTCCGAAACCTGCCCTGAAAGCTGCCAACAAAAAGCCGCGGAGACAAAAACTGAGTCGCTGGAAGCTCTTTGGCCCATTTCCGAATTGGAACACTCGGTATCGACTCCATGGCTTCCAGCTGTTGGGAACCACTTAGGCGGCGCGGAACTGGTCTCTCTCGCTGGATGTTGATTGGCCCATGTCCCAATTGCCTGCACCCTGTCCAAATGCAAAAGCTTCAGCCGGACGCAGCGATCCAGAGCGCTCTGGACCTCCGCCCCCAAGTTTGATCCACTCAGACACAGCTCCTGCATCGGGGGGTGGTCCAGGGCAAAGGGGGGTAGGAACCCTAAGGAACCCCTGAAACTCCAACTCCCCGCCCCGGATACATTATACACCTGAACATTGCCTTGTAAATGGTGGTGTCCCTTTTTTTGGTGGAAAAAAAATCCATGTTTCAAATGGTTGCAAAATGTATCGATCTTTTAGGGAGCCCTACAGTTTGTTGGCTCCATTTACCAAGCTGCCATTTGAGCCACAGCGAATTGAAAAAAAAAACAAGATCCAGTTTGGGGGCTGAAGCCATGACCCAAAAATTGGGTGACTGAGGGATTTTGGGTCCCTGAAGCCATTTAAATCATTTGGGTATGGGTCAAAATTTCTCACAACCAGAAACCCCCAGGTGTTAGTCCTGGGCTCCATTTACCCGGGCAAGCCATTTTTGACCCACAGCCAAATCCACCGCTTGGTTTTTGGGCAAGTTTTGAATCCAGGGTTCTGGTTTTTATCCGGTTCCTTGGGATCGTCCCTTACCAACCTACCCGGGTGTTGAGTTTGTGAGTTTGGGAGTGGGCCAAAAATAGGTACCCCAAATGGACTCCGGGGAAATGGACACCACTAAGACTTGCGTTTCGGCGTTTCGGCGCTTAGTTTTGACCCATAGGTGTCCTTTCGGGAAAATAGATGGCCCCGGTAAATGGAATGAAACCAATTTCAACCAGTGCCCCTTGCACCCAATACCCACTTTTTCTAGGGTATCATGTTGACCCTCTACCAAAAAATGGAGGTATTTACCATGGAAACCCGATCGGTTGTTCACAAAATGCCCTAGAAAAGCGCTGGGTGTTTGGAAATTTTGAAAATATTTATAGTTTTCCTCTCACATAAAAAGGACACCTGAGTCACAAGCAAAACCTGACTGTTTCCGGCGACTGCCCCTTACTAACCGGATCATTCACCCAAATTGGTTTTGAGCACGTGGCTCACCTTGTCGTGGAATCCACGGGAACCCAAAACCCAAAAGGACCTTCCTCTAACATCATCTGTTTCCGGCTCCTCAACGCTCACGAGAAGGCGCAGATGGTATTTCTAGTTTTCCTTTCACCCAAAAAGGACACCTAGGGTGAACATCGCGAACATCCCAGTGAACATCCGATTCAATCCAACCACTAAAATAGGTTCTAAAATGGGTGGTGAATGCATCTACCAAGCAAAATGGGATCCCAAAACGGTTTCGACAACCACAGCCTTTTGGGGTTGGCTTAAAGGATGCTGGGACACCATCCAGTTTGTTGAAGCCATACCTAATCCAAAATGGGATACCATTTGGGTATGGGTCAAAATTAAACACCAAGAAACCCGCAGGTTTTAGTCCTTCCGACTTACCAAGATCCCATTGTGGGGTTACCCGTTTTTTGTTTTTTGACTTCCCCACAGCCATTTAGTTTTGACCCACAGCTTCAGCTCCTGGAGGTTGCTGTGAAAAGTGGCCAAGGCCTGGCTGGTTGCGGAGGAGCTCAGCTTGGAGCTGCTCAGCACCAGTCCAGCCACCTGCAGGGCTCAAGGCGCCAGGTACCTGTTCCTCCATTTGCTTTTTTGGTCCCCTGGAAAAAATACAAATGTGTCCAGTAGTGATAGATTCCCTTTTAAAACCAACAGGGGAAAATCACAACTATTCTTAACCAAGTGGAAGTTGTGGCTCGTCTTTTTTTGGAGTGGGTACCCTCCCTCCAACTAACAGGGTACCTGGAAGATCAAACTCCTCTTGGAGGGACCCCTTTGAGGTGCCATGTTAGTGGGAGAGACGGTACCCATTCTTCGAGTGGTTTTGAAGGGAAGCCAAAAGGAAAGCGGGGGGACGGGGGGGACGGGGGGGGACGTCCCCTGAAAAAAAAGGAAGCATACCGCTTTTTCGCTTGGTTTCTAGGGAGACAAAGGGAAAAATCACCCGCTTGGAGTTGCACACCCAGAGGGAACCCGCTCAAGGCTCGTTCAAAGAGATGTCCCCCCTGCTCCAAATCCCCATTTTTTTTGGAAAAGCCTGGTTTTTCATTGTAAATACCTCCTTTTTTAGTGGAACTTCGACATCATACCCTAAAACAAGATGGTATTTGGAGTAGGGGGGCGCGTTCGTGCAGATTGTCTTTGACCAGCCAAAAGAAACGTCGCTGATTGCTAAAGAGGGGTCAAAAGAATCTGCCCTGCCTAAAGTGACTAACTTGTGGGTGAAATTTGGAAACCCGACCACTAAACCAACTAAGCACCTAAAAACCTAGGGGGATGGCAGTCCACTGGCAATTGCAAAGGACTAAAACCAAAAAGTCTCACCCATACCCAAACTCAACTTGCTAAGTCCAAAGAAAAACCGTGGATCCCAGGCAAGCCCGTCACGAGCTAGTGTCCTTGTCATGTTTAGAAGGTTCCTGGATGTCTACAAAACTTCACATCTCTTGGTATGGGCTCGGGGGAAAAAACACTTTGTTGTTTGCAGCCCCCCAAACTAAACTTGAACAGAACAAAAAACACTAAAAACCACTTGCCAAGAAGAGTGAAGACAACCAGGTAGCTGGATGCCAAGACGAATGGCAATTTCGGCCGCGAACTCGCTCGCGAGTGGTGCCCAACGAGGTTCCCAGAAGCTCCCAATGGGCCCAAGCGCCAGGGAAAAAACGGTACTTCCATTTGCTGAACCCCCCTGGAAAAAATGAAAATATTTCCAGTGGTCATAGGTTCCCTTTAAAACCAACAGGGGAAAACAGAAACGACATTTCAGCAAATGGAAGAGTATGTTTGTTGCTTGGCTGTTCGGACTTGGTAAGTTGTTGGTAACCTGGCTTACCCACTTATGGGTCCCCGTGTGGGGTTAACCCGGTCATTCGTGGCTGACTTTCTTGGCGAAATCCAAGTACCCTCATTGGCGATCGAACGCGAAACCATGACAAGTCATGTTGAGAAGCCCTTCTAGGTCCTCCGCTAGAGAGGTTAGAATAAGGGTACCAACTTTGTTCCGTAGTCTATTTTAGTGGGGGAACCCTCCCCCAAAACACTGGTGAGAAAGGGCACTACTGGGGGACCTAGCCCTAGATTCACTCGCCCGGTGAGCTGCTCTCTGAAGAACAAAACTGCGGACCTGTGTTGATCCGAATCTCCTCAATGCCGCAGAAAGGTCGGCATCGGTGACTTTCCTTAGTGACGTAAATCCACCCCTTCCTTGCAGGCTGAAACATCCAGTTGCTTAAGCCCCCTCGCAAAACACAGTACCATATTCCCTTGAAGACCAAAAAGGGAAAGAAAACATATTCTTAAGCAAATGAAAGGAACACTTTTTGTTGCATGGCTGAGGATCCTGAAAATTTCCCAAAAGGCCCCCGGAACGACCTCTGTTGGGGGCTTATTCCTCTCAAGGCCTTTTTCAGGGCTTACCCTTGGCTAATCCTAGGCTTATCCAGGGATAGCCCCCCTTTTTCGGAGAAGCCTAGGATAAGCCCGTTAGGGGTTAATCAGGATCATGAATCATGAATCATAAACGCCCGGAAACCTTTTGCCAAAGTCTGGGGATTTGGCTGGGCGCCGAGTTTCGAATCCTTCAGTTGCTGCTCTTTGAAGCCATCAAGCTCATCAAGACTCGACAATTCGAGGCGGAAGATCTTCCTTGCATCACGCAGCTCGGTGAGTGCAAAGGGCCAGGAGTTCATATCTACCTGGGTGTGGCGTGGACGTCAAAACTTCGGGAACTCGCCCCCGGGTTCCACTTACCAGGGTTGAATTATGTGCCAGTTTTTTGACCCACAGCCAAATGGTACCCCGCCCCCCCCTCCAAAAAAAAAAGAAGAAGAAAAGGAACAGAAACGCAAATTGCGGGGGGGGCGTTTCCTTTTGGCTCCCCCTTCAAACCGAAAAGTGTCGGTTCTCCGAAACAAAACGGGCCGTAGAAAAATTCGCACGCCACCTGCACCGCCGACGCCAAGGCATAGGCTCGCTTTTGCCAGAGCTTGTTCGTCATGCCCAGCATCTGCCTTGGAACAAGGACCCCAGCAAAAAAAACGATAAATATGTCTTGCTAATTAAAAAGGGGCCAACAAAACACCCTATCAATTTGGGTGCGCAATATCCCTTAAGGGTAGTTTAAGGGTGATAGTTGATTCCGCAGAACAAAGGGGAGCTAATTCTGGGGAAGCTGCAAGGCACCAGGCGATGCATAGCCCAAGATCCGCGCCGTCAGCTCATCTTCATTGAGCACCAGCTCGCAAAAAATGAACCTGGCCCCGGCTGGATCCGACGAAAGCTAGCCCCGTAACCTCCAAATACCTAAAAGATGGTTGGTTCACCAAAATCATGGTTGGTCATGGACCCGATTCTTTTCTTTCGGTCAGAAGGAAACTTCAGGTAGCAACCTTTCGGTGCCCCTGCAACCTCCAAATACCCACTTTGGCCTTTTTCTAGTTGGTATTTTTGGAAAGACCGATCGGGTTTCCATGGTAAATACCGATCCTTTTTAGTAGAGGGTCGACATCATACCCTAACAAAAGTGGGTATTTGGAGTAGGGGGAGCTAAGCACCGCTGATCAAAAGGGAAGAAACCTACTGAAAAGGGAAGCTTGAAGCTGGCGATGTTGCTAGTCGAAAGGGAAGATTGTAGAGCACCAAGTGCCAAAAGCTGCAAAAACCGTGAGGCCAAAGTCTGAGCGCGGCACGTGCGCGGCGCCACGCGTCGGCGCTTGCAACAGCTGAATCCCTCGAAACCGGTGCGCCGCTTACGTCCAGGTGCTGCATCGGAGGCATCGATGAGTCGAAACAGATCCGAGACGTCGGAAACCGCCATGAGCTCAAGGCAGGGCCCGACTCTCGAGTTGCAGTTTCCCAGGGAGTCCAAAGGCCTGAGTTACGGAGGCCGTTTAAACACGGAGGTTTGTTACGGCCTTTTTACGGGGTGTTTACGGCCGTTGACAAAAGGCCTAAGTTACTCAGGCCGAGGAAGCTCTGGGTTTCCTCGAGCCGAAGGAGTTCGGGCATCCAAACATATCTAGCACCACAGTCAGGGCGTAAGAATATACAAGGCTTCAGACATTGTGCCCGCAGATTCGTGAAACAACCACTTCCATGCGTGTTTAGGGGATTGTCCAAGTACCTGCACCTCCTTTTCGTTGTTGTCTCTTGGGTTCCATTCAAACCCCACATCAACTGCTAGAAGAAACAAAGAAAAGAAGTAAGTAAGAAAAAAAGAAAGAAAGAAAGAAAGAAAGAAGAAAGAAACAAAGAAAGAAAAAAAGAGAGAGAGAGAGAAGAAAGGAAGGAAGGAAGGAAGGAAGGAAGGAAGGAAGGAAGGAAGGAAGGAAGGAAGGAAGGAAGGAAGGAAGGAAGGAAGGAAGGAAGGAAGGAAGGAAGGAAGAAAGGAAGCAAGCAAGGAAGGAAGGAAGGAAGGAAGGAAGGAAGGAAGCAAGGAAGGAAGGAAGGAAGGAAGGAAGGAAGGAATCACAAAGAAAGACAGGAGAAAAGGAAAAAAAGAAAAGAACAGCAGGAAAGAAGGAAAGAAAAAAAGAAAGAAAGAAAGAAAGAAAGAAAGAAAGAAAGAACGAAAGGAAGATCCAAAGGCCCACTTGGACAGTTTGGGACGTAACATGTAGTAGCCACTGTCACAAGACTGTCACAAGGGTGTCCAGGGCGCTACCTTTCTCCAAGCAATCATTGAAGCAGGCGGAACTTTTAAAGAGAACAGTCCTCCAGCACCCTGCCCACTTCCTCACATGCCCAGTAGCCATGGGAAAAAACAGGCACCCCTTTTTTGTTGGTTCCGCCACATTGCTCAAGACCCCACCCCCCCCCAATTGGAGTGAGTGGAGCCCACATCCTGGCCGAAGCCAAAAATCAGGCCGCCCCACTAAGGGGAAGGGCTAAGCATGAATTAAATCTATTTGGCCGGAGCATGTGGTCAGTATGCGCAAGCAAAAACAGGCAATCACGCCCCGCCTAAAACGGCGGCGGGGGCCACAAGAAATGTTTATCGGATGTGTACGGGCGGCATCGATAAAACCGCGTTTTAGCGGGCGTCAAGGATTCTTTTGCATGGATAGTGAGATCAATCAAGGGTTCCAATTTTGGTATTTTGGGCGTGACACCCAGCCAGCTTACCTGAGACACGTTGCGCGGCACCGAGGCAATAGACTGCAAAGTTTCCTCAGCCCTGGCCATCTGCTGTCTTGCGTGGAAACCTTGGTAATTAGAGCGGAAACCAAAGAGCCTCATGGATTTAACTTTGGTTGAGGGCTCACCCAAGATCATGGCGTCCCAGAAATCCGGCTCAGGCTTCAACAGAGTGCCTAAAATTACGTCAGCTACGTCCACTTGCGCAATCCTGGTGAAGGTTTTGGCGCTTCAGCCAGGTTGCGAGGCGCCTCACTTTGTGTCACGATGCGAAAATTAGTCCAGAGTTCGACCCAAGAGATGTCTAGTGGCACTCCTGAGATGTCCCGACAACCTTCCACCATAAGACAGGAAGGGGTCATATTTACAGTCGTCTCCAGCACGGACATGATCGGTCCTGGCTAATGTTTTCGTCCTCCTTGTGCTCCTGATCCTGATTTTGGGACTTTACTCTTCTACTTGTGCAGGTATGTTATACTGCTATCGGCAATTCCCTGGATGGTCGCAACGGGGAACCCTTCCCAAATAGAGGACAAAAGGGCACCACTGGGCAACAAAGCTTCCACTCAAGTGGGAAGATGGCAAAGAAAAAGCTTGAGTGGAGGTTGCTACGCTAACAAATTAATGTTGACCCCGGATTAATAAACCCCTGGTTGATTCATAGAAAGGTGTCCCTGATTTTAGTGGGGATTTATCACTTTGGAGTGGAACACCCCCGTATTAATAAACCGGGGTGTAATAGTCCGGGGTCGGCATTAAATCTCTCGCGCAGCGGACTTTTCTTTTCCGCTGTGCCTTGCGCCGTCAGTACACTACACTGCAACCCCTGCAGTGACTCCCAACCTGCCATCCGCATGGCCCGCTACTCCGAACTTCGTTTACTTGCGAAACGAAAATCTATAAACTTGCCAACTCGGCTACTTCCCAAAACAAATCTCCGGGCAAACGAGAATTAATTCACACCAGGAAAATCAATTTGTCCTAATAAACACGGGATGCCTTCTTTTTTGCAAAGCCACCAACACCCAGCATTTGCCCAGAAAACGGGCGCCCAAACCCCCCTCACTCGTCGATCTTGGGCGCCAGATAGAACTGCATGTGCCTCACTCGCCAAAAGAACCCAGCCAAAGCGATCAGCTTGGGGCAACCACAAAAATGGGATGTCTGGTGTTCGAACCTGTTGGCTTCCTACTAAACCCACCAAAAGTGGCACCCCTCAAAAAAAAGACAACCCCCCCCCCAAAAAAAAAAAACCACAACAACAACAGGTCGCCAGCTCGATTTGGTGGCGTGGATTGCTTTGGTTTTGGACCCCTCAGGCAAGTGGAGGCTGTCGGAACACCTCACCATGCAGCAAGAGGAACCTGGAACCTCCAAGTCAGCCGCAAAGTTTCCCCGGAACATCGGACAACCTCCAAATCAGCAACCCTGACTTTGGATTCTGCGAGTCGTCAGATCAGCCCGCGACCGTTGCATTCACCAAGCCCGATTCCCTCTGCCGATTACATTTGGAGAAACGTCACAAGCTTAGAGGCGTGTGGGTCAAAAATGAGTGCCCAAAATGGAACCCCATTTTAAATGGAAGGGGCCAAAGACCTAAAAGGTTTTATTAGCTGAACGGGTGCATAGCCATCTTGGTGCATATTCCATAGCTCAAAACGCACACCTCATGCAAATCGCTGCGCTATGGACAACCTGAAAGGCTCAGATGTCGAGCATAAGGAGCCCTAAATAAGGCCTTATTAAGGGCGTAATAAGGCCTTTTAGGGCTCCCTCCCCCTCCCCTCCCTCCCCCCCAGCCACCATGACAGAAATCCCCAAAGGTTGATCGATTTACTAGTACTGGTGGTTTCCGTCCACTGTTGGAGATTCCAAGGAACATATACTGCCTGGATCGCCAAGTTGCTGCTCTTTTTTTCCAGAGACTTCACTCTAAAAACAGTCACAGTTGCTGGGAAAAAGCAGCAACTGGCGATCCGGTGGTTGCCTTTGAAACCATCAATCTACTTTTGGAGGTTCCACAAAGGGAAAATGAAGGCATCAAGTGACAAACCGAAAGGACAAACCGAAAGGACAATTCGAACACCAGAAACTAGAAACTGCCCGTCCACAATAGGTGCCACAGGAAACCGCAAAATAATACGTATTCATAATAACTAATAATGATAATAATAATGTATAATAATAATAATAATAATAATAATAATAATAATAATAATAATAATAATAATAATAATAATAATATTAATAGTAATAATAATAATAGTAACAATAATAAAACAAAATACTAATCAATATTAATAATAATAACAATAATAATAATAAATAATAATAATAGTAGTAATAATAATAACAATAATATAAATAATAATAATAAAAAATAAATAATAGTAAAAATAATACTAATAATACATATTAATAATAATAACAATAATAATAATACTAATAAATAATAATAATAAAAATAATACTAATAAAAAAACATATTAATAATAATAACAATATTATCAATAATAATTATCCTAATACTAATAATAATATACTAATATAATAATAATAATACTCATAATGAAAACAGACAAAGAAAATGGCAACAAAAACTAGAAACGGGCTACCCCCTTGGACAAACATATCTCCGCGAGGTGCCCCTTGGCAATTCCCCCCACTCCAAATACCTGGGTAGAGGGGTGGTATGATACCCAAAGCGTTGGTATTTGGAGTAGGGGGTTAGTATTATCTAAAAATAGTTCTTGTCAGTTGGTTTCTCCTTTACTTTCCCTGCAAGACCACCCCAAAAGGGGTAAGCCTCAGTAGGTGAAAAGCTTGTTTGAACCATGTGAGTCAGAAAACCAATCGGAAAAAGGAACACCATAAACACCTGAAACGGGGTACCCCCCATGGAAACAAACATCCATAACTGAGCCGTGGTTTCGTAACATTAATTCACCCCCCCTCCCCCAAACAGAACACTGCCCGAAGGCTCAAATGACTCATAACCCCTCCAACGGACAACACCGGCCCTTCCGAGAAGCCCTTTCAAAACCTCGTGGAGAAAAGAACACCTGACCCAAACCCTTACCCAAAAGCTTCCCCAAATCCAAACCCAAAATCTGAGTGGTTCGGAAAAACTGTTTATTATGTATTGCTTTACGAAAATGATAATAATACTAATATACTACTAATAATAATCAGAATAGTGAAAAAAACAATTAAAAAAATTAGAAGAATAATAAGAACAAGCATAATAATGATTAAAACAACAAATGATAACAAAAGAATCACACACGCCGGACTCGAACCACAGCATCGGCTCAGAAGGGCGCCCCTTGTCCGCGGACTCCAAGTCATACTTCACCAGGAGCGGGGCATCGGGGCCCAGGCCCAGCTCCACCGCGCCGCAGAGCTTCTCCGCCTCGAGGCGATCGGCTTCCAGGGAGCTCGGTTGCAAGGATTTTTCGGCGAAGAAGTTTTGCGTGTTTTGGACTTGCTTGGCATCGGTTTCATGGGAAAACCCGAAACTCTCTTGATTTCAGCCGAAAAGTTGAAGTAAGATCCGTTGCCCAATAGCACTCAGCGAAAAGCGGCGGTTTGGAGCCGAATCGGTGGTAAACGGCCCATTTACCCTCAAGAGGCGGCTCAAACCCCAAAACCACGAGGCTCCAAACCAATGAGGGAGCTGAAAACCCAAAAAAAACAAACCAAACCAAAAACCAAACCAAACCAAACCAAACCAAACCAAACCAAACCAAACCAACGAAACCAAACCAAACCAAGTGATCAGAACCAAACCAACCAAACCAAACCAAGTGATCAGAACCAAACCAACAAGCAAATAAAGCCCTGGTGTCCTCTTTGCTGCGCCAGCTCTCCAAAAAATCCCCTTGGAGCATGGGGCCACCCGTTATGGTCAACCAGGAACAGAAAAAATAAATCAACATCCGCACGCGGGGGAACCGGAATGGCTTGCTGCTGCCATAGCCAGGGAAGGAGAAACGAAGAAATGCAATGACCCCGAATGAAACCATCCTGCATGGCTTCCATCCGGATCGGAATGGCGAACGCGAAACGCGTTTCCGCGGAATGCGTGCGTGCGATCTCGGCGGGGTCCCTGAGAAATGGAATGAGCCCGATTGAAAAAACCGTCCATTTCCGGTTTGAGCACCAGCAAGATGGCGATATGCGGAGCGCGCAACGGCCCACGCTTGGGGCGGCGTGCTTGAACGGGGGACTTTTGACAAAACCAAGTTAGAGGATCTAATCCACCGATAGAAAAGCCGCAAGCAGAGGGGCAAAAAAAAGAATGTATAGTTTATTGTTTGCTTCACTTTGAGTCACTGGTAAAATACGTAAAACGTATCCTAAGTCTCGACAGGTACTTCGAAACGGGGTTGGGCACGAAACCAAATCAGGAATTCCGAACTCCATTTCGCGGGTGCAAATATTTTTGACAGTGACTGGGCTGCCCGTTTTCGGATCGATCCCCCGCTCAAACTGAGTGAGTTTAACTTTTTGTGGGTTAAACGGGAAACCCCACTAAACACTAAAAGGCTAAAAAGCTAAGGGGATGGCTGGGAGCTACCAAGATGATTAGTAAGTCTTAATTGAATTGACGATAACTTAGTTGTTTGTCGACAAACAATTAAGTTATCGTCAATTCCTGGCACCCCGTATGGCTGTTTCTTTTCGGTCAAACTGCCGTATTTGCCCGTATTTGCCCGTATGGCCATGATTTTTCGGTCATTTGCGTAAATCACCCGTATGAAACCCATATTTTTTCGACATGTTGTTGAACAAAATCGTAAAAAACCCGTATGGCCATTTTTTTCGGTCAAAGGCGTATGAACAAAACAAAAAAAACGGCCATATGGGGTCCCAGGGATCCTTATTATGACTTCAGACCCATACTTAGTCGACGGCAGGGGTAGATTTCTTGTGATTGTGCTGCCCCTTGCTGGCCGTTCCCGTGGGCTTCGCGGGAGCGGGACACACAAAGTCAAGCTTTCAGAGATATGATCGACCATCCCCACAGCAATGCTTACCACTTTATCACCAGAAAGTGGCACTAAAACACAAACAAGCAAGCAAGCAAGCAAGCAAGCAAGCAAGCAAGCAAGCAAGCAAACAAGCAAGCAAACAAACAAACAAACAAACAAACAAACAAACAAACAAACAAACAAACAAACAAACAAACAAACAAACAAACAAACAAACAAACAACAGCCACGAAACTGGACAATAACCATTGGAATACCAAAGCTTTTTCCCATGACTACTGTAATTATCACTTTCAATGAGATGGCTTGGCATCGCGGAATATTGAACCGTAAAACCAAGGAACTCCGTCAATACCAAGGAATCCCACGACCACAATAACGGTAACAGCAATGGTTCTCTGGAATATCAACCATACATGTCCACCACGTTCCTCACCAACACAACGACGCTCGCGTCTCGTGATGTCTCGCGTACAAAGAAAAGACAAGTTGACCCTGGACCAAGAAACCGCGGGAACCAACTGAAGACTAAAAACCTGTCTGGAGCTGGAGGATTTGCTGGTACCAATCCCAGGTTCAACCGTTCAACGAAGCACGCCTAGGTCCTCCAGTAGAGAGGTTAGAATAAGGGCACCAACCTTTTCTGTTGTCTATTTTAGTAGGGGCACCCTCCCAACCAAAAAAGTTGGGTGAAGGCACCCTTTCGCTGGGGGACCTGGTTGCGGAACCGATCCGTGCGCCCCGTTTCCGGACGAAACCCCGAGTCCCGAGTCCCGAGTCCCTCCGTGCGCGCTCGAGCCGAGTCCCCGAGTGGGAGCCTTGGCAAAGTTCACGAGGTATCGCAGCGCAAAGGTGGCGCTCACCGGCTCGTGCACCGTCAAGGTCACCGTGTCCTCGAGGCGAGGGCGAGTGCGAGTGCTCGAGCCGAGCCCCGAGAGGCGGAAAGGGGGGAAAATGGGGGGGGGGGGGGGGGTTCAAGTGGATAAGCCAAGTTGAGAAGCCCTCAAGCCGGAGGGGGGGGGGAGGATATCTCTGGATAAGCCAAGTTGAAAAGGTAACTTGATAAGCCGTTAAGGCTTAAGGGGTTGATAAGTCATAGCCCTCCCTCCCCATAGCCCCCCTTGGGTATCTCACGAATTCGCGTTGGCTTGGATTCGAGGGAAACGGGCATGGGGAAAACCCCAAAGCGTGGAGGGAAAGGCAGGAAGGAAAGAAGGGGAAGGAAGATGTGGCAAGCCATCTGGACAAAAGAAACTCTGCAAGGCCACCAGAGAAGAGATTGGATGGCAGACAACCCGTGTATTTGCAAGAGGGGCGAATAACAGGGAATAACATCTACAACTTAAGAGGGTTTTCGGGTTCACACGGTGGTTCCTGTTTCGCCCCCCGTTGCTCTTCTAGTACTCGCGACTTGTTTATGGGTCTACAGAATCGGGATCTGCTCAATAGGGTCTGCCGAAAAGACCTGGCGCCAGGGAAACACCAAGATGACTGGATGCCAACAAACACCCAAAGCGGGCGGGCGGGGGTTGAGCGGGGTCTGGAAGAAGCGGGGGGGGTGAAAAAATCCGAAACCGGTTCTCCCAAAAAAAACTGCCTTCAACAAAGGCCGGGTATTTGGAGGGAGCCGATCGGGGCGGCTTTTCTTCCTGTCCCCCCTTGATTGCCAGCAGCCAGGGTACCCTTCGCCTCCTAAAACGTCCATTGCCTGTCTTTGAACAGCTCAGTTGACACTTCCCGACCAGTTCCCCACCACCTCCCGACGGAACTTGCCAGGGACAAGGGAAATCATGAAGCGGTCGGGAGAAGTGGTGGTCGCGAAGTGGTCGAGAGTGGTCGGAAAGTGGGGTCGTGCAACCGCAGTGGACTGATCAGAAACTGGCCGGAAGCGGGTCGGGAGCCGGTCAGCGAGTTGGAGATTGCAAAAAAAGCGGCTTGGAAATTGCGGCAACGTCAGTTGTCGCGTTGACTTCGTGCCCTCAAAATTCGGATCCTTACGCATTACTCAAATCTGCCTTCAAGACTGCCCTCCGAACCAGGACCAATTCTCCGCGGCAAGGTTTGCGCAAGAAAAGGGCAACCACGCCATGCGCTCCTTCACAAAATTGTCTCAAGGGTGACCACGATTTGCAGGGGCCCAAATGGCCCCAAAAACAGAAACACATAACCTCATGCGAGAAGTAGGACATGTGGGAATGAGCCTGCGGATTCCCGAACCTGGAGCAAACCAAATCGGATGGATGGCTTCTCGGGTCAGACTCCATTTCTCACTCGCCTTTCGAACCCGATCACCAGACGAGGGCCTTGCAAGATGACGACGCTCCAAGCGCCTTTATCTTGAACGGGGCTCAAAAGAAAGCTCCTCTAAGAACATGTTGTGCGCGCTTTTTTCGGGCGCATGGGGGGTACCCAAACTGCCAATCGACTAGTGTTGTAAAACAACCAACCAACCAACCAACCAACCAACCAACCAACCAACCAACCAACCAACCAACCAACCAACCAACCAACCAACCAACCAACCAACCAACCAACCAACCAACCAACCAACCAACCAACCAACCAACCAACCAACCAACCAACCAACCAACCAACCAACCAACCAACCAACCAACCAACCAACCAACCAACCAGCAAACCAAAAAACAAACAACCAGAGGCAAATTGAAAATCCTCGCAATGCAGAAGGCTCTCCGCTTTTTGGGTGTGGCTCAACAGTCCCCAACTGACCGAAAAACCCAAAACAAACCAAACCAAACCCAGCCAAACCAAACCAAACCAAACCAAACCCCAACCCCAAACCAAGCCAAATGCCCCTGACACCGCTGAGAAAGAAAAAAAAAAAAAAACCTAAAAACTAAGAAAAAAAGAGAGGAAACACAGATATAAAAAAGAGAAAAGAGAGCGAGAGAGAGAGAGAGAGATAAAAAAAGAACACCTTAAAAATAACAAGAAGAAGAAAAAAACGAACCCTGTCGCTGTCCTCCGGCTTCTCCCCCTGCCGCGGCTTCAGCACCACGTTGCCGCTGCCCAGGTCCCCTGCGAGCCGCATGAGATGCCGCGAGCGAGGCCCGTGAATGACACCCGGAAAAAAGCCGTATGGCCGTTTCTTTTTGGACGGAACCCGTATTTTGTTTTGGGTTTCCAGGTTGTTTAAGGAAAGTAACTCGAGTTGTTTAGTGGCCTTTTTTTGGTTGATGGGTGGCAAAACCTGGGGGTTTTAGTTGTTTTTTGTGAGTTGTTGGCTTGAGAAACCCGGTGTTTTTGTTGCTCGTCCTGTAAAAACCTTGAGTTTTACTTGCTTTTTGAGTGGTTGGCTTGAAAAAACCTGGTGTTTTAGTTGCTCGTTTAGTACAAGACCTGGGGTTTTAGTTGCGTTTTGGGTTGTTTGCTTGAAACACCTTGCTTGTTTAGTTTTTGTGTTTGAAAAATCTGGTCTTCCATGGTTGGTTCATCAGATTGCTGAGTTGACTGGTTGGGTTGAGGGGGCCCCTATTCCAAACTCTGGCCCTTTTTTGTTTGTGATTGTTCTAAAAATCGATCGGTTTTACATGGGAAAGACTGATCCCATTCTATAGTAGAGGGTTGACACGACACCAACAGCAAAGAAAACTTTGGCATTTGGACTAGGGGGGTCGTTTTGTTGAAGGTACCCCAGTTTTTGTTGTTGTTTTCTAAACCTTTACCTGAAAGCTATGGGGTCGATAGTCCCACATAGGCCCACATAAGCTCGCTCGGGGAGGGTTCAAAAGGAGATCCCTTTGGGCTATTGGGTCCGATACTAGCTGGGCTTATTCTCTTTTGTGCGGAGCCACCAAAGCACCGTCTCAAAGAGACGGAACTTCCCTGTGGTATGAATCTGAATACAAAATTTTGGGGGAGCATCATTTACATGGGGAGCTTTGCGCCCCAAGCATCCCTCTTTCAAGGGTGCCACAGTTGCACTCGTAAGCTTGAGCATGGTGTCCTTTTGAAGGGAGTTTGGGCTGCATGGGCGGTTGGAGCAAACAGGTGAGCCGCCCAGGGGACACTGGATGTCCCCAAATCAAAAGTTGATCGATTTACTGGTGGCTTCCATTGAAACGATCGATCCACTTTTGGAGACCTCTGAAAGGAGGACGCCTGGAAAATCAAAACTGCCAGCTTCTCCTGTCCTGGAGAGACCGCAGTTTGCGCAGACAGACCCATCTGGACTGTCCGTTCTCTGATCCCCTGCTACAAGTTTCACTGTTCGTGGGCGAAATGGACACCCAACCACTAAACCAACAAACAAGCTATAAAGCTAAGGAACCGGACGGATGGGAGCCACCAAGCCTGGGAAAAAAGGCAGAAACAAAAAAATGAGGGTCGACCGACCCAGGCCGAGAGCCGTTGTTTGTTATGTTTTTTCCCCCCCCCCCACTTTCTGAAGGCAGTTTGCCCAGTGATCCCAGTTTATTGCGGGTCACCAGCTATTTTCCTTGGATTCAGGCTGGCTCCGGCTAAGCTGAAGGCCAAAGATCCAGCCAAATTGCACCCAAGAGAAGTGGTATAAACCCTCCATACCTCCTGCACGTTTGTATTCGTGCCAACGCCGATCATTCGCTGGTGTCCCTTCGGTCTCCCTGTAAACCAACCAAAAAACAGAATGAAAGATTGTTCGAAGACCCCTCCCCATTGTTGGGGGACCACCCCTCCTCATCTACACCAAAAAAGGAGAAGAAAAAAAACGAGCGAGCCAAGCCGAGTCTGCGAATCGCGACGGATCCATCGGAATCGATTCCCGCGAATCGTTCGTGAGAGGTACCCAACGCCTTCACCATTCGGCTTTGTTAATTCCCAGAGCTTCCTCGGCCTGAGTGACTTAGGCCTTTTGCCAACGGCCGTAGACACCCCGTAAAAAGGCAACGTAAAAAGCCCGTAAAAAGGACGTAAGCACCCCGTGAAAAGGCAACGTACAAAAAAGAAAAAACGACCCGTGTTTAAAAACGGCCTCCGTAACTCGAAACGGGAGTCCAAAGGCCTGAGTTACGGAGGCCGTTTCAACACGGAGGTTTTTTGACGGCCTTTTTTCGGGGTGGCCGAGGAAGCTCTGGGTGATGTTGAAAATACCACTTGGAGTGGTCAGGGCTGCCGGTGGAACCACCCATTCTGTCGGAGGCCAAGGCAGGTGGCGAGGACTCTTCTCCCACGGATCCAGGCCTTGCACCATGAACTTCAGGCCCTCCTTGCTGGCGCTGATCTGGATCGTCTCCCCGAACTCCTGCGGAGTTCGATGCTCCAAGAGTCCACTGGCCATTCCCCCGAGAAAAGAAGAAAAGAAAGAAGAAACAACAAGGCAAAACTGAGTTTTGCAGCCTCCGACTTCCTGGCTATTTCCCCCCCAAAAAAATAATAACAAAATAAAAGACGATCGAGCCCTTTTTTTTGAGTCAGTGGTGCAGCCTCCGAACTCCTGGCTATTAAAAAAAAGAGAAACACGGGCGTCCCTCTTTTCTTCGAGGGTTGCGAGAGGAGGAATCGCCGTTTTCTTTTTGCGCCGTTCTTCAGAATTGTTCAGCCCAGGTATCTGGAGCCCCAAAGGGATGGAACCTGAAGCCTTCTGAAACAGATGGATCCGGATGCATGAAACACACCTGAACATTGCCTGCCTTGTTTTCTGGTGCTTTCCAACTTTACTTGGAAAAAAGCCTTGCAACTTGCAAATGGCGGGTTTTCCCCAACTCTATTTCGGTGCTTGAAAAAGCCACGAGCTCCAAATTTTTTTTGGCGAAGCATGGGCTTCTTCTAAGGAGCCCCGTGAAAGCTGCCCCCCACAAGCCACCGGTCGATCGTTCCCGCCCATTTCTGGGGACCCAGGGCTTCCTCGGCCGTAGCCTAAGCCTTCCCGTAAAATGGCAACGGTAAAAAGGAGCGTACACGCCCCGAAAAAAAAAATAATGAACAAAACAAACCTCCGTGTTGAAACGGCCTCCGTAACTCGAAACGGCCTTTGGACTCCCTGACCCAACTGGTTCACTTCCGCAGCCCTGACCCGGTGTCCCTCCATTTCGGGAAACCCGCACGAAAGGTTTCGGGCAGTTCCAGGCAATGGCGTTGGAGGCGAGGAGGTTTACCCCGTAACCACCCAATACCCACTTTTTTTAGTTGGTATCATGTCGACCCTCTACTGAAAAAGAAGGTATTTACCGTGAAAAACAAGGTTTTTCAAAACATACCCTGAAAAAAGCGGGTATTTGGAGTAGGGGGTACCACTGATAGGGAGGTGTTGCACGCCCACGTCTAGCTGCAAGCCTCCCCGAAAATGCCCACTGGCGGTTCAAGTGACACCGAGGAAAAGCGATTGGGTCACCAAGTTCTGGCTCCTAGTCACCTAGCGATGACTCCTGGAGTCCGCGAAATCCCTGGCCCAAGGGTAAATACGGTAACCGCTCTTGAAGAAAACACAGCAAACCTGACAACATCAACAGGGATCCTTACATTATACACCTGAACATTGCAACTTGTAAATGGTGGTTTCCCTTTATTTTGGTGTTGGATAAGCCACATGTTTCCAATGATTGCAACATGTATCGATCTTTTGAGGAGCCCTGAACAAAGAAACATGTTTTCTAATGAAATGCGGCCATCTTACACCCAAATGTCCCCTTTCCCATCTCAAATGCACCATCTGATGGCCCCCAGAAAGCGGCCGATTGACGAACCATAGGAAGGCGCCGTTTGAAAAAACTCTCAAAGTGAGAATCGGGACCTCGAAAATACAGGCTGTTCTTTTGGCTGTTCTTTTGGCTGTTCCAAAATATTGGCTATTCTTTTGGCTCTCCTTTTAAAACCAACTGACAACAACCCCCTCCCAAACACCCCAACAAGGCTGCCATATCAACATCTGCGTCAGTTGGTGAGAAAGATCTTCTTTTTCGAACATGGTCCTCTGTTGGGGTGCGTTGCTTGGCCCACATCTGGTATACACACAAAACATACGATTTTCTGACTCTGTTCCATTTTTAGTCTACCCTGAAAAGAAAGTAGTTTTGGAGACCTCCGCCCACAAGTGAGACAAGCTTGTTGGGGGGGCGCTCTCGGACCCCCCCCCCCCCGGAACACCCAAAAAACAACTCAAACAACTCTTGAGCCCCCCCCCCACCCAAACCCCCCCAAACCCCCAAACCCCCCCAAAACCCCCTGCCCCATGTCCCTAGAAAACCAGAAAAAGCCCCCCCCCCCCCGCTTGCCGGAGGCATCCGTCCGGCGCCGAATTCGGCGCCGCTCGACTCGGCGCAGTTCCGCGGCTCCTTCAGGTCCCGGCAGATCTTTTGGAACTCCGCGGAGGGCAGACGCGCCACCACCTGCCATCGACCCCGCGGAGGGCTCTGGGCCTCTGGGCGTTTGCCGGAATGAACCTGGCAACTGGTGGTGATTTTTGTTGTTTTTCCTGGGACCATGGGAGGGAATAAAGCAACAAGGAAGATGTAAAGGGAAATATGAGTGTGTATATATATATATATATGTGAATGTGTATAGTTACTCATTTAGTTGTTGATTTATGTGTCTTACTTATGTATTCATTTGTATGTTGTTAGTTGCTTATGTGTCCAGAAATTTAGTCATTCATTGTCTTATTTAAACAAGTATTTTGTCTATCCATGTATTATTGTTCTTGCTAGGACCAAAACACATTTATCCATCTATTGATTTATTGATCTTACTTAATTACTTACTTATACTTGCTTACTTACTTACTTACTTACTTACTTACTGACTTACTGACTTGTCTACTTGACTTGTTTACTTGTTTGCTCATTGATTTACCCAATGCATAGCGGCGAGTCACAATCAAAACCTGGTAAAGTCTACCCTGCTTACGTACCCATTGTTTGCAGGGTATCACGTCAACCCACCGAAAATGGGATCGGCACTTACCACGGAAAACAGGATCACGGAGCTGGAGCGAGTCGCCTTGTAATGCTGCTCCGGGATCTCCATGTGCTCGCTCCTGGCCGGTTGTCTTGTGCCTTTTCAAGCGAAGAGCCCACCCTTGGCCATCTGTCCCCAAAATGACGTGTCTTGTCTTTTCTGACTCTGTTCCATCTTTAATCAAAGTGTCTTCCTGATTTTTGTGTAAACCCACCTAAAAAGCAAAAAAACAAAAACGATCGCCACCCAGTCTACCCCCCCCCCCCGCCCAAAAAAAAACACATTTTCTCAGGCGATCCAGGCGACCCAGCCATTCGTCTTGAAAGCTAAACCCTGTTCAAGCCTGGCGAAGCCTGGATGTCTCTCCTTGTCTTTGGGGGATCGGACCGCCCAAGAACAAGTGGGGAAAAACAGGTTCTCCTTCTCGCCTTTAAACTAATTCCCTCTAAAGGGCGCCTACCAAAAAGACGCTTCCCCAAATAGTTCCGTCCAACTCCAGGATTCGGCTGCTACATGTTCCCCCTCTTTAGGGATCATGATTTGTTTCAAACTATGCTGTCTACACGGAGATATGTGTGTGTGTGTGTGTGTGTTTCCGTTTCTTGAGGCTCAAACCCAAAGAAAACCACCAATTCGGAGGGCCCCCGAAAAAAAGACACACTCATATGAAGCATTGGCCAAACCCAGACTTGCCCAGGCCTTTTGGCAGTTGTAGCCATGCAGGCTTTAAGCCATCCAAAGCCTCAACGAAACCCCATTGCCATTACATCGCGTATCTCGCTTCGGGTTTTTCCCTCGTCAGACGGAAGCAGAGACTCCCAACAGCAATCTGAACATGGATATCCCGTCTGTGCGGCCCCTGTTTTCTACCGCAGAACATGCCAAGAAAAGAATATCGTAGATTCATTGCTCCATATTTAAGGCGCTTGCCGAGCCGGTCAAGAGAGATTCAGTTTTGAGGTTGTTTCTTTTTTGCCGTCAGACACCTCCCTTCCTCAGTGCCTGGCCAAACAAGGCGGAAAGTTTATTTTACGTCAACTTTGGATAAATCCAAAGGACCGTACGATTCCAGGGGTGCGCCCTTTTAGCAAAGACATTATCTGTTTTAGGGAGTTCCTCTGCTTGGTAGGGTCCCACATTAATCTGAAGTCAACATTACCACTAACATGCTCTTCCAAACAAGTTTAGAAACCGGTTGGCAGTGAGACGTAAACCCATGGTGTGTAGATCCGAAAAACCGCGGGTGGGGGGCGGGGGCCCGATTCACCTGATGGTGACCCCGCTGATTGCTAACCCTCCATCTCTTCATCAAGGGCGCCCCTTAATAGTAAGTGGGGGGGGGCGGGGGGGGATCAACATTACCCCCAAACCACTATCAGGGTTTCATGGGATATACCACCATGTAGCCTCTGCAAGGAGGTAATACCGCTATATAAAGCCCACTAATCAATACCCTGGGGTTCAACCCCCCCGCCCCCCCCCAAAAAAAAAACAAGAGAATGGTTGGCCCAATTTGGAAGATGAAAATCCTTAGGTGAATATTGGCGGCTATATTAATAGAGCCATTGTTCTAATAGTGGCCTGCCTGAACCCCAGAGAGTAGTGAGTGGCTTTTTCACCAGATATCACCCGCTTTTGAGCAGCGAAATCGCAAAAACTCGATGTTTCTTGCGCGTCCGTTTTCGCTTGCTAGACCAATTTGGTCTTTTTTTTAATCAGCAAAATAGCAAAACAGGTTCTTTGCGTTTAATTTGTCTAATATGTTGTCTAATTTGCCTTTTTTCTAAGCAATATAGGGTATCATGTCGACCCTCTACTAAAAAAGGAGGAATTTACCTTGAAAACCGATCGGTGTTCCAAAAAGTACCAACTAGAAAAAGGCCGAGTATTTGGAGTAGGAGTAGGTATTTGGAGTAGTATTTGATGTTCACCAGAATTACAGGGTATTGACCCACAGCCAAATAGCTGACCCCCGTGTCCCAGATCTGAATTCCAACTCAGTTGCCCAAAGGACCCAGAACTAAAAGGTGATCACCTTTTGGCACCTCTACTAAAAATGGGAACCCAAAATGGGAAAACCCAAAGGTCAGAGCCGGTCGATTCGCTTTGGAGGACGTGAATTCCAAGCGCTCGATCTGAGCCCCGCGCTCGATCTGCATGAGCTTCAGGTCGAAGTCGCAGATGCGGTCGTCCGAGCCCTCGCACTGGAAGTTCACGGTGTCCGCGTCCTGAACCCGGTTGAAGGGGTCAAAGGCTCCCCAACTGGGAGACACACCCGCGCATATATATATATATATAGATATATAGATATAATGGATATACATAATATGCATAACATACATAATATCTATATATATATATATATTATACATATATATATATATATACATATATATATATATAGACACCTAGACATACATATATATATATATAAGAAACATTGCTGAGAGATGGGTGTTCTGTGGGAGGGGTGCGTCACTTCTGCAGTTCCAGTTTCTCCTTTGTCAAGCTATTGCCTGCTTACGCCGAATTGCCAAATTGCCAAATGCTGCCAAGGTGAAAGCAGGCTGGGCAGGTTATGAGTAGGAGAAAAGCATAGGGGTAATACCACAACCGTCTTGCAGGGTTCCCACTGGACGGATTTTTGGAGATGCAAGCCGGAGAGGCATTTCGGATTCAGGGCAGCCAGGCGGGGAGATATTTGCAAACTCTCTTCACCCGGCGGCTTGATCGTTGTCCTTCATGTTTCCAGCGGCACAATTTTTGGCTGGCAACACCAATCGCGGCGAGATACTCTAGGAGTAGCTCGCCGCCCAGCCCTGCCCTAGAGAGCCAGAAATCTCTCCAACTTGGGCCTGGTGGCAACCCCCTCAAAGTGGAGAGCTACTCTGAAAGTGGATGAAAAAGACACGCGCGTCCTGCTGGTGCTTGATCTTCAGGGAGTCATTGGCCCCGGTCATCTTCCTGGCGCGACTGACGTTCGACTCCTCACTCGCCAGCAAAACGCCACGCGTGTGCGCGTGCGTGTTTTTACGTCAACAACCGTCCATTTGCTTAAGTCCACCAGAAACAAATGGAAAATTTCACGTCAAAAAGCGTCCAGTCGCTTCAGTCCACCAGAAACAATGGGAAAATATGTCAAGTAGTGAGATGTATTCCCTGTAAAACCAACAGGGAAGAATAACAAATACATTCTTAAGCAAATGGAAGCAACGGGCGACCGTGCTTTCCGAGGGTACCTGAGTTTGGTCGGTCTTTCTAAGGAGGCCCAAAGGAAAACACATCCCGTCGTGGTTTTCCACTCTATCCTGGGTCGGCACAAAGCCAAATGGCAAAACATGTTTTTTGGGTGCGGATGAATTTTGAGATTGTTTGTTACGTTAAATGGTTCTTGGGTCGCTGCTTTTCGGTTTTTGGCCGAAAAAAAGCACCGCCATTTGGGCTCTTTTGTACCCCTTACACCCAATACTCCCTTTTTTTAGTTGGTATCATGTCGACCCTCTCTACTAAAAAAGGAGGTATGTACCTTGAAAAACCGATCGGCTTTCCCAAAAATACCCTTAAAAAAGCGGGTATTTGGAGGTTACGGGGGTATGTACGAGGGCCGAAACGGGGCTTTCGGAAGGCGGAAGCCCGGCCTTCCGAAAATTCCTTCGGTGTCCGGAAGTAGAACCCAGCCGAGTCGAGGTCCACCCGAGTGATCTTCAAGACTAGAGGGGACGCACGCACACACACACACACACACCTAGATACCATTTTTTCCTGTAGTCTATGTTAGTAGGGGAACCCTCCCAACCAAGAAAGGGAGAGAAGGACACTACTGGGGGGACCTAGACACACACCCGGATCGACTTCAACCAGTTCTGCTGCATGCCGTTCCCGTTGCGATAGCCGCATTGGTGGCCGACCGCCCCTCGAACCAAAACATCCACCGTGCGTGCGCGGAGTCCCCTGCAAAAAACGAGAACATACTTCCAGTACTGAAATCGATTCACTTCGAAACCAACAGAGGAACAGAAGAGTCGCCTCGGCAAATGGAAGTTGCGAAAAGAAGAAAAAAAACGAGGCGAGCGGCAGGATCTTGGTGAGGGAGTCGATGTTCATGCCCAAGGACACCGCGCGGTCGCACTTGAACTCCTGGGGAAAGGCTAAGCCCCTAAACCCGCGGGCGCCCAGGCGCGCGGACGGATGGGCGATTGGCGATTTTCGGCGCCTTGAGATTCGAAGCAGGGAGGGGGAGTGCCTTTAGAGGGCGCGATGATCTTTGTTTCTAGGATGTTTATGGCTCCACTTTCCTTTCGAAATCCGTTTCATACCAAGATGTTGGAAGAGATCCGTATGGGAAACGCTGTTGAGGAAGCTGATTTCGTCAGACATTAGGGGGCAAGATTCGACCACGTTCCCAAACCCACCTTTTTGGAGGGTTCCATGAAGTTACGAGGTTCCTTTGTTTCTTCGCTGTGCCCCAACCATGTCGGAGATGGTTTCCGCAGCAAAGGGGAGATTCTCGCTGCCCGAATTGAAATTCACACCCACTTGAGTCATAACCAAAACCCGGCATTAAAATGGTCTACCCAGAACCATGCCTCAAGAATTAAGACGGCGGAGATCCGCAGCTATTTATGGCAAGGGGATTGTCCCTTACTAACCCCTTACTCCAAATACCCACTTTCTCAGGGTATTCTTTGGAAAACCGATCGGTTGTCCACGGTAAATACCGTTCCCTTTTTGAGTAGAGGGTCGACAAATCATACCAACTAGAAAATGAAGGTCTTGGATCTAAGGGGAGCGCGCACCTCCCACCTCCCACCTCCGCACCCTAGCGACCATCTCGGAGCGACCAGCCGGGAAAGGCTGGCACGGAAGGAGCCCTCTACCGAAAGGGCTCTTCTTCCTCGCCCGGTATGGTGGACACGAGTCTTGGTTGCTGCAACGACCCCCCTGCAAAAAGTGGGTGGAAAACACCTTTAATATAAATTCGAGCAAAAAGTTAAAGTCTAAAGATCCAACCCAATAGCAGCCAAGACTCAGAGTCTTCGTGCCTGTTTAGGGTCGGCACAGATGTCCTTTTGGAAAAAATAGATGGCACAGGTAGATGATTTGATCCCAAGGGAAACCAGTGCCATCTATTTGCAAACAAACTAACCTAAAAAGGACAGCTATGGTGTTGGGGTTTCTAAGGTCTGCAAATTAGCCAAGTGTCCATGTCACCAACATTCCCCCAACCAGAAAGGCTCAGTGCCCTGAGAATCCCACCCAAGAGCCCTTCAACGGAACCTTTCCTGGGATTAAAACATTTAGAAACCTTTGGTTCTTCCCTGTGCAACTTGTGTCTGCAAGCATCTGTAAATGGAAGACACAAACAAAAACAGACACACAGACAGACAGACAGACAGACAGACAGACAGACACACAGCCAGCCAACCAGCCAGACAGACAGACAAACAGACAGACAGACGGACAGACAGACAGCCAGCCAGCCAGCCAGCCGACAGCCAGCCAGACAGACAGACAGACACCCAGACAGACAGACAGACAGACAGACAGCCAGCCAGCCAGCCAGACAGACAGACACACAGCCAGACAGACAGACAGCCAGCCAGCCAGACAGACAGCCAGACAGACAAACACAGACACACAGACACACAGACACACAGACACACAGACACACAGACACGCAGACACCCAGACACACAGACACACAGACACACAGACACACAGACACACAGACACACACACACACACAACACACAGACACACAGACACACAGACACACAGACACACAGACACACAGACACACAGACACACAGACACACAGACACGCAGACACACAGACACACAGACACACAGACACACAGACACGACAGACACGACAGACACGACAGACACCCAGACACCCAGACACCCAGACACGCAGACACACAGACACGACAGACACGACAGACACGACAGACACGCAGACACACAGCAGACACACAGACACACAGACACACAGACACACAGACACACAGACACACAGACACACAGACACACAGACACACAGACACACAGACACACAGACACACAGACACACAGACACACAGACACACAGACACACAGACACACAGACACACAGACACACAGACACACAGACACACAGACACACAGACACACAGACACACAGACACACAGACACACAGACACACAGACACACAGACACACAGACACACAGACACACAGACACACAGACACACACACACACACACACACACACACACACACACAGCACACAGCGCGTACAAATCAGCAACGGCCAAGCCCAATTGACCTCTGCTTTGTACTAAAATGGCTATACGGGCTTGTATGACTCATATATATATATATATATGGGCGTGTATGCGTTTTTGAGGGCACCCCATTTTTGGTGGCTTCAAAGAAAAATCCAAAGCGGAACACACAAAGCCATCTATAAAAAAAACGAGCCAGCCATAAGCCCCTTGCTCCAAATACCTTGAGCTTCTTTATGTTTGCCTTTGTTCCGGATATTCCATGGTAAATACTGGTCCCTTTTTGGTTGAGGGTTGACATGATACCAACCGAAAAGAAGAAGAAGAAAAAACAACCTTGTATTTCGAGTATACCCAAGCCAAACACAGTGCTTTGTGCCCCCGCGGCGGTGGATTCCGGGTGTATGCTTTGCTGTACCCAAGTCAAAACGAGTCAAACCACTCCGGTCGGCTCCTGAAAGGCACACTCCCGCAGCAGTACGGAGACCAAGGCCACATGGGAGCTGTCCATGCTCTGCACCTGCAACCCATTGACACCCAATACCCGTGGTTTCTCTTACCCAGTTGTTCAGTGACCCTGGAAAAAAAGGGAACGCTTTTTGGGGAAGACCATTTTTTGTGGTGCAGCCACCAAAAGAAAGGGCAAAAGGGTGCCACTGAACAACTGAGCTTAGAGAGACAGACAGACAGAGAGACAGAGAGACAGAGAGACAGACAGAGTGACAGAGAGACAGAGAGACAGAGAGACAGAGAGACAGAGAGACAGAGAGACAGAGAGACAGAGAGACAGAGAGACAGAGAGACAGAGAGACAGAGAGACAGAGAGACAGAGAGACAGAGAGACAGAGAGACAGAGAGACAGAGAGACAGAGAGACAGAGAGACAGAGAGACAGAGAGAGAGAGAGAGAGAGAAAGAGAAAAGAGAAGGAGAGAGAAGGAGAGAGGGAGAGAGGGAGAGAGGGAGAGAGGGAGAGAGGGAGCGAGGGAGAGAGGGAGAGAGGGAGAGAGGGAGAGAGGGAGAGAGGGAGAGCGGGAGAGAGGGAGAGAGGGAGAGAGGGAGAGAGGGAGAGAGGGAGAGAGGGAGAGAGGGAGAGAGGGAGAGAGGGAGAGAGGGAGAGAGGGAGAGAGGGAGAGAGGGAGCGAGGGAGAGAGGGAGAGAGGGAGAGAGGGAGAGAGAGACGGAAAAAAAAAACTCCTATTGTCTGTCCACCAGCCACTTCCAGCTGCCTGGCATCCCTGTTATGAACACCAGCCAGCCTCAAGCCAACAACACTAGCCCCTGCCTTTCGGGGGTGCTTGCAAGGTGTGGGGGTCGGAAAATCCCGACCTTGACAGACCACCCAAGCAACTGACCACCAACTCACCGCCGGCCCGCCCAACCGACTGATCGATCCACCCACCCACCAACCAACCAACGAACCAACCAGCAGTAGGAACTCAGTAGGAATTTGGAAAATTATCCCCCTAATCTAAGTACCTGCTTTTTCAGGGTATTGTGTTGAAAAACCTGGCTTTCCACGGTCAAGACCTCATTTTTTAGTAGAGGGTCGACAGCATACCCAAGAAAAGAACAGGTATTTGGAGGTTACGGGGGTCTGGATCCCCCGACGGAAACCACGAGCCATGGCAAAGAAACCCACCAGGCGAGCCTCGATGCCCTTCTCCGAGCAATCGAAGTTCACATCCTGCGCTTGACTTGTCATCGACTGAGGGGCGCTGCTCACTTCAGGGGAACCCCCCAAAAAAAGAAACTACTCCAAATACCCATGTCTTTTAGGGTATTTGTTTTTAAACCTGGGTTTCCATGGGTTTTCAAATACCTGGAGTCTCCCTAAGGACCCTGTAAAAATGGGGTCATGACCCCTTTATTTTGGGTACTGACCCCATTTTTTTAAGGGTCATCGAGACTCCAGGTACCCTCAAAAGTTGTATGGCCCATCCCCCCAAAATGGTATTGAGTTTCCCACAAATCTTTGCTTCAGAAAAAGGCAAGCGGAAGTCAGAGGCTCTCTTGGGAAACCCCTCAAAACCGACCAAAAAGGGATTCCCTAAACTTCCATTTGTTTTTTCGCCCCTGGAAAAAATGATAAAATATGTCAAGCACCGCTGAACCCCCTTTAAAACCAACAAGGGGAAATGTGAATCATCATTTCAGCAAATGGAAGATTAGGAGAGCCTCCTGATGTTTTGCAAGACTAAGACCCGAGCCGCATTTGTTTGGACCTCCGGCACCAGTGAACCCTAGCACAAGACCCCTTGGTGGTAAACCATCCCACACAAAAGGGATTTGGATATGCCCCCATGATCTCCAAATACCCGCTGTGTTTAGATTGTTGTTTTAGAACCTGGTTTTCCATGGCTGGTTCAGGAGTTTGCTCACTGGTTGGGTTGAGGGGCCCTACTCCAAATTCCCAGCCTTTTTAATTGGTATTGTTTGAAGAAGAAAAAAAAACTCAAACCCAAAAAACCGATCGCTTGTCCATAGCAAATCCCGATCCCTTTGCAAAGAGTTGACAAAGGAAGCTGCAAAAAGCGGGTCGATCGCCCCAAGGCTCTGAGGTTTGTTCGGCTTTCGGGGAGGGTTTCAGCGAGGTTTTTTGTTTTGTTCCAGGGCGGTTCCGGGGCTGGGGAGACCACACGGCTATGGGTCAAAACCAATGGGATCCCATTTTGGGGTACCCCCTACTCCAAATACCCTCTTTTTTTAGGGTATCATGTCGACCCTCTACTAAAAAAGGAGGTGTTTGCCATGGAAAACCAGGTTTTCCCAAAAAATACAAACTAAAAAAAGGCCAAAGTCGGTATTTGGAGGTGAATCGGGGGTACGGGTATTTGGAGGTTACGGGGGTAGGTGCACCACCCATGTTAGAACCTATGTCAGTGCGAATTGGGATGTTGTCCTGGGGGGCTAACCGGTTTGGATTTGGACTTATGGCCACCTTGAAACCATGGGACAGCTATGTGCGCTACATGTGGGGTCCTGCTTTTGACAAATACCCGTACCCCCCGAACCACCTCCAAATACCCACTTCGGCCTTTTTTTTAGTTGGTATCTTTTCCAAAAACCGCTCGGGTTTCCATGGTAAATACCGATCCCTTTTTAGTAGAGGGTCGACAAATCATGCCCTAACAAAAGCGGCCGGGTATTTGGAGGTTCGGGGGGACTTTTTGTCGGGAAAACCACTCACTTCCCAAGTTGATTGGCCAAAACAAGTACCCAAACTTTTTATTTACCACTAAAATGCGCCAAACCCAAAAAGTTGAAAGTCCATCAACTCGGGAAGTGAGACCAACAGGTTGCCAGGGAAAACTGGATTCGCTTGCCACGCACCTGTTTCAAGCGGAGGAAGCGGCCGAAAAAATCTTCCCCGAAGGGGATCGGCGGTTTACACTGCAAATGATCCCCCCACTCCAAATACCTACCCCCGTAACCTCCAAATACCCCGCCTTTTTTTAGTTGGTATTTTTTGGGAAAGCCGATCGGTTTTTCATGGTAAATACCTCCTTTTTTTGGTAGAGGGTTTACATGATACCCTAACAAAAGTGGGTATTGGGTGTAAGGGGTAGGTTTTCTTAAGGGAATGGTTTGAACAACCGAGTGGATTTCCAGGGTAAATACCTCCTTCATTAGTCAAGAGTTGACATCATAGCCTGGAAAAAAGTGGAGGACTTGTGCGTAGGAAAATGTTGTTGGGTGTCCACTAAAATTCGCCAACACCCACTGGGCTGCCCGTCCCCGTTTCTTCTGGCCAACCTGTTCGGTCCAAAAAACGATCTCCTCCGGGGGGGGGAATACAAAACAAGACGGGCTGTTTATATGTTTATTCAGCTTCCCTCACATTTTTTCCGTGGTTTGGAGCCGAATCGGTGGCTTGGAGGTCTTTCGGCGGGGGTTTGGTTTCATTGGCCCTCTACAAAAGCCAGGGAACCTTTCAAATCCAAATTTAAAATCCGCCAATCCAAACCACAAACTAGGGGTTACCTGATTCATGTCTTCCCCCCCCCCAACCCCCCAAAAGGAGGCTGGTAAATGGTGGGGTGCCCCTCACTGAGAAAAGGATCCGAAAAAAGCCAAGTGTGAAACGTTTCCCTCGAATTCTTCCGTTTCGGGGGAAAAGCACAACAAACAAACAAAAACGCAAAATGTAAAAAAAGAAGACACTCCCCCGTCCCAGTCCGCGAAGCTCCAAGAACAAACTTGGGGGTTGGACTGGGCGGGCAAGCGGCCCAACCATTCTTGGTCGACGCTGGAAGCGGAGCATCTCTTTTCCAATTTTAGCAGTTCAGTGGAAGGGGATTTCAACCACTGAACCGCAACTTCGCAAAAAGGAAAGAACACATGTTTCCCAACAACAACCATGAATGGTTGTGGGAAAATTTGACCCTGGTGATACCCAAGCGCTGGATTCCCCCAAGACAACTTGTGGGGACTGAACTGGGCTTTCGGGCCAGCGGCCGGTTTTCATTTGTTTTTTCCGCATCTCGGTCAAAAACACATGTCCTCCGGGGAAAAAATACTTTAAACAAAATGACAGGCTTCTTATGTTTATTCAGCTTCCCTCGCATTTTTTCCGTGGTTTGGAGCCCAATCGGTGGTTCGGAGGTCAAACCCGGAGGGGGTTTGGTTTCATTGACCCTCTACAGAAGCCAGGGAACCTTTCAAATCCAAATTTAAATCCGCCAATCCAAACCACAAACTAGGGGTTACCTGATTTATGTCTTCCCCCCCCCCAAAAGGAGGCTGGTAAATGGTGGTTATTCTTTTTTCCGTTATTCTTCTAGGTCCTCCAGTAGAGAGGTTAGAATAAGGGTACCCTTTTTCTGTAGTCTAATGTAGCAGCCCAACCCAAAAAGGGGAGAGAAGGGCTTTTACTGGGGGACCTAGTCTTACTCTCCGGTTCTACTTGGTTGATGTTGGAAGGGGAGCAGAAATTGAAAACATAGCCATTAAGTGGTTGGATTTCAACCACTAAACCACAACAAGCAAAAATGTGAAAGGTCCTTGCAGAGATCCTTCATGGACTCCGCCACCTTCTTCAGCAGAGAGGCCTGTTGGAGCTGAGCATCCAGCACCATCTCGAGAGCAACGAGCGGAAGGCGCGGAAGGAGCGAGCGGGGAGCTTGAGCCGAGCGGCCGGGCCGAGGGCCGAGCCGGGGCCGGGGCTCCTCCATTTGCTTTTTGCTTAAGCTCCCTGGAAAAAATGGGAAAATAATTCCAGTAGTGAAATCGATTCCCTTTAAAACCAACAGGGGAAAATGAAAAAAATAGTTTTAACCAAATGGAAGGGCTTGAAAAACGCCTAAAGGCTTTTGGGGGCCAACGGCCCCCCACGTTTCTTTGGGATCAGGTAGACCTTAAGCCCGGAGAGTTTTTGGTTTGCCCTCAAAAGGAGAAGCCGGAGGTTGAAGTCTATCTGGTAGTCAAGAAGTGGAACCCTGGCCAAGGAAAAACCTTGGTGGCCCGTTTGGATAAAAATAGATGGGCGTAGACTGGCGGCGTAAAACCCTATCTAAAGCATCGATGTGTAACCAAACCAACCTAAAAAGGACAACGAAGAAGACCAAAAGAAAAACCAGGAGGTTCTCAACTTAAATCCCTTGTTTGGGCCCAGGGTTTCAATGGAACCCACGTTTGAAGATGGAACGGAGACCTATGAAAGGCACTGATGGGATGAAGAGCCAAAAAAAGCAATGGATGGAGTACAACTAGGTCCTCCAGTTTTGGAGGTTCGAATAAGGGTACCAACTCTTGTCTGTAGTCTATTTTAGTAGGGGAACCCTCCCAACCCAACAAGGGTGAGAAAGGGCACTGCTGGGGACCTAGACAAGACTTCACCAGCCCCAAATGTCAGCTGCGCGCTAGTTGGGTTTGAATTGAATTGGCTGTTTTGGAGGTGAGGTCTCCTACTTATCCTGTGCGCTTAACCCAAGAGGAAACAAATGGGAATCTTTTTTGAAAGTACCCTTTTCGGCTGGGTTAAAGGGAAACCAAGAGGAAAACCATAACATGTATTTCTGTTTGTTTGTTTATTTTTTTGGGAGGGGGTCCCCAAGAAAGACACCAGAGATGGAAACAAAGCCCTTTCTTTCTCCGGTTGACACCAACCAAACTCGGCAAACGGCTCCGCTCCGCTCTGCTGAATGGCTCTCTCCGTTCATTTTTCGCAGGGCGGTGTGTCGAAAACGACCCTTTGGGCTGTGGAAAACCACCTGTTTCAACTGGGGGAAGGGGCGAGAGCAAAATGTGGGGTCGACGAGCAAAGGATCGACGAGCTGCACTGCACATGTCGAAGTACCCGTGTTTTTTTTTGCAAGACTATTCATTGAAAAACCGGTGGGCTTTCCAAGCAATACCGATCCCTTTGTTAGCAAAAGGTTGACATCAGTACCCCGAAAAAGGCGCATGTTATTATTGTTCTGTGTGTGTAGGGCGCATGTCTCATTTGCTTCGCTTCTTCCTCTTTTTCTTGTTTTGGGGGGGGAGGGGGTTGGGGAGTCTGGGGGCCTATTTAGAAACCCCGAAACTGTGCTTTTTTTGGGGGGGGACTGTCCGTCTAGAAAATGTTTTGGATGTGGATTTTGTGGATAGAGGGAAGAACTGGTGAAATCCACAAAAAGCGCATCCAAACCGTTTTCTAGAGTCTGGACGCAATAAGATTGTCGGATTTATATCCGCCCAGCATTCTTCATGGGGTTCCCAGTT